AAGTGTCTTTGCCCCAGGTGGAATTGCACTGCCCTTACCAGGGGCCGGGCTGAGTAATCCGCTCGGGTTTGCTTTCGGGAGCTTTTGTTCCCTGAGCGCTTTCCGTAGAGTTCCAGAGGACGGGAATGAAGATGGCGGCTGCCCAGTCTCCGGCCCAGAGGAGCCGGGGACCTCGGGGCCCCACTCCTCAGTGCGCCCTCAGAGAACAGCGCCCACCTACTCCCGTCTCCCTGGCCTCGGGCAGCACTCCGAGCTCACCGAACCTGGGACCGGTTCAAGGTAACCCTGAGCTGTGAGCTCACTCCTCGGCTCTGTCTCTGTAGCCGGCTTCCCGGTTCTAATACCTGTAAGCTCTGCGACACTCAGACACCCCCGATCCTTCTGTGACCCTGCGGGACCTGAGGCCACGCTGACCCCGCGTGGGCTTCACCCTGGTTTAGCCTCTAGAGCGATGTCCCTCAGCGGAACAGACTTTTAAAAGTCCTGATTTTGTGCTCTGTTGCTCCACCGCTTGCCGGGAGCCGGCCCCTCCCCCCGTGGTCTATCTTCCCGTCGCTTTGGATTCACTTCTCCGCCCAGTCCTACCTTTCAGAAAATGGTCGATTTTCTGTTTCTAGAATTGCTGTTCTTCTCTTCCATCTCCTGTTGGATTTGTAGGTGTTTGCAATCTTTAGATAAGCTATCTAGTTGATCTCCCACTACCTGAAGTAGTCTCAGCTGCTACTTCTCCGCCATCTTGACTCCTCCCCCTCTTTTTATATTTCTTAAACCAATTTTATTGAGGTATAATGGACTTAAACTACATATTTGAAATGCATCATGTTACGACATATATTTACACCCATTAAACCATCACTATAATCAAGATAATAAACATATCCATTATCCCCCAGGTTTCCTTGTGGCCCCCTTTGTAATTTCCACCTCCTGTCCTTCTCTCCCCCTTCCCATTCCTCTGCCCAGTCCACCCTCGCCCCCATCTCCCCGCCACCACTGAGCCGCTTTCTGTCACATTAGATTAGTCTGCATTTCCTAGAATTCTATACAAGTGGGATTACACAAAATTATGCCGGCTTCTCTGATTTAGCGTAATTATTTTGAGATGCATCCATAATGTAGTGAAAATCAGTAATTCATTCTTTTTACTGCTGAGTAGTGTTCCATCAGATGAATAATGAATATGTCACAGTTTGTTTCTCCATTTACCTGTGGGTGGATATTCGAGTTGTTTTCAGGTTTTAATATTTTAAAACTAAAGCTGCCATGAAGATTTGTGTACAAATCTTTGTTTCCTACACATGCTTTCGTTTTTCTTGGATAGATACCTAGGAGTAGAATAGGTGGGTTATAGACTCGGTGTATATTTGTTAAGTAACTGTCAAACTTTTTTCTGATGTTTTAATTTATGTTCTGACCAACACTGTGTGAGTTCCAGTTACATACTCACCAATACTTGATTTGGGCAGTAATGTGTGTGTGTGTGTGTGTGTGTGTGTGTGTGGGGTTTATAATTTAGTTGACATTAGTTCTAACTCATATTGCCTATTGATAGGATTTTGGAAGTGGTGACAGTGCATAGGTAACAATGTATAGAGCTTGTTTGGTGAATCTCCATCTTCCTTATGCTTTCTGGGTGACTGTATACTGATTTGGTGTGGCCCATTCCTTATTCCTTTGGCCCAGGAAGCTCTGTTGTACCTGGAGTCCATGAGCACATCTGAAATTCCCAAATCTTTCCTTGCAGATTTCTGGATGTCTCTACACAAGGGGGCTTACTTCTTGAAGCTCACTCCACAGATATGCTTATGAATGTAAATTTTGGACTTTCTAAATAGTATACTTTGTAGTATAATATAGTACAGTTTATATAGTATACTAAGTAGTATACTAGTAGTGTAGTAACATCTTATTGTGGTTTTATTTTGCATTTCTTTGATACCTAAGGTTGTTGAGCATCTTTTATGTTTATTTGCCATTTATCTATCTTCTTTGGTGAAGTGTTTATTCAAATCTTGTGCCCCCACTTTTGAAAACTGGGTTGTTTGTGTTCCTATTACGGTATTTTTTAAAAAAGGTTTTATTTATTTATTTGATAGATCACAAGTAGTCAGAGAGGCAGGCAGAGAGAGAGGGGGGGGAAGCAGGCCCCCCACTGAGCAGTGAGCCCGATGCGGGGCTCGATCCCAGGACCCTGGGATCATGACCGGAGCCAAAGGCAGAAGCTTTAACCCACTGAGCCACCCAGGCTCCCCCTATTACGGTATTTTTTTTTTTTTTAAAGATTTTATTTATTTGACAGACAGAGATCACAAGTAGGCAGAGAGGCAGGCAAAGAGAGGGGGAAGCGGGCTCCCTGCTGTGAGCAGAGAGCCCGATGCGGGGCTGGATCCCAGGACCCTGGGATCATGACCTGAGCTGAGGGCAGAGGCTTTAACCCACTGAGCCACCCAGGTGCCCCCTATTAACGGTATTTTGAGAAGAGTTCTTTATCTATTCTGGATACAAGTCCTTTGTCAAATCTGAGATTTGCAAATATTTTCTCCCTGTATGTGGCTTGTCTTTTCATTCTCTTAACAGTGTCTTCAAAGAGCAGAAGTTTTTAGTTTTTATGAAATTTATCATAACAATTTTTTTCTCTTACAGATTATGATTTCAGTATCATATATAAGAAATCTTTGCCTGACCCAAGGCCACAAAGATTATCTCCTATATTTTCTTCTAGAAGTTTTATAGTTTTGGGCTTTATATTGTGGTCTATGATGCAATTAGAGTTTATTTTTGAATATGATGTAGGAGGCACAGATTCAAGTTGATTTTTTTGCACATGGATATCTGGTTGTTCCAGGACCATTTGATGAAGAGGCTATTGTATTAGCTCCCTACTGTTGTGTAACAAATTACACCAAAACTTAGTGGCTTAAAGCATAAAACAGTCACATTTTTTATCCCATGTCTCATGATGCTCCTTTTTTAAAAAATTATTTGGGACGCCTGGGTGGCTCAGCAGGTTAAAACCTCTGCCTTTGGCTCAGGTCATGACCCCAGGGTCCTGGGATCGAGCCCCGCATCGGGCTCTCTGCTCACTAGAGGGCCTGCTTCCTCCTCTCTCTCTACCTGCCTCTCTGCCTACGTGTGATCTCTGTCAAATAAATAAATAAATAAAATCCTTTCTAAAAAAATTAAAAAATTATTTCCTCTTTGTGTTTCATTTTGGTTGTTTTTTCTTGTTTTGCCTTTAATTTCACTAGTCTTTTCTTCTTCAATGGGTGATTTGGTGCCTGTCCCATAGAGTGTAATTTTCAGATCTCAAGCTCAAGCCTTTTTTTCCCCCACAAGTCTTTTTTAATACTCTCCCATGTTTCTACTTAGCTTTTTGAACCTATGGAATACAGTTATAACTGCCTTTTTTTTTTTTTTTTTTAAGATTTCATTTATTTACTTGACAGAGCAGGAACATAAGCAGGGCGTTGGGAGAGGGAGAAGCAGGCTCCCTGCTTGGCATGGGTCTCTGTCACAACCCAAGCAGAAGGCAGACGCCCAACGACTGAGCCATCTAGGCACCCCAATAACTGTCTTAAAGTCCTTCTCTGCTAATTCTAACATATGCATTCAGTTTCGAGTGGGTTTCTGTTGATTCTCTCATCATTTTGGGTCGTGTTTTTCTGTCTCTTTGCATGCCTGGTTATCTTGGATTGCATACTAGATGCTGTTGTGTCTGTCACCTTACTGTATGCTAGATATTTTTGTATTTCTACCAATCTTCTAGAATTTTGTTCTGGGATGCATTTAAGTTTCTTGGAACCAACTTGATCTTTTAGGTCTTGTTTTTATGATTTGTTAGGTACATCTGAAATAGTGCTCAATCCTGGGCTAATTACTCCCCACTACTGAAGCAAGACTTTTCCAAGGACTGTACTCAATGTCCTGTAGATTATAATTTTTCCCATCTGTCTGGTGGGAACAGGCATTGTCCCCAACCGCGTGTAAGCACCTGGCAGCGATCCTCGAATCCTTGTTGGTAGTTCTTCCCCCAGCCTTGGATAGTTTCCTCACATTCGTGCACCGAGGAATGTTTTGCCAAACACTTGGGGCTATCTACAGATTTCCGGAGCTCTCTCTGTTCAGCTCTCTCCTTTCTAGCCCTCTGCCCTGCAAATTCTGTCCGCTGTGCTGTTCGTGGACACTCAGCTCTGTCTCCACAGCTCAGGAGGTCCACCGGACTACTGTGCCATGACCTGGAAATTCTCTGAGGCAGTAAGCGGACACAGTTGTAAATCTGTTGCTTTGTTTTGCTTTTTCAAGTGGGAGTGTAAATTTATTACTCTGTCTTTCCAGTATTAGAGTTTTGAATAATTTGCAAGTGTTTTTAAAAATGCCTTTTAAAATCTTTTATATCTTTTTTGGGGTGCACCAGGGTGGCATGGTCAATTAAGTATCCAGCTCTTGGTTTCAGCTCAGGTCCTGATCTCAGGGTCATGAGAGCCTGGCTCAGGCCCCACACTCAGCATGGAGTCTGCTCGAGATTCTCTCTCCTTCTGCCCCCCAACTTGTGCGTGCGCATGTTCTCTCTCTCTTGCTAAAATAAATAAATACATATCTTTAAAAAAATTATTTAAAAATAAAATTTTTAGTATTTTTTATATCTCCCATTTTTGCCCCCCATTCTGATCTTTTATTTTAAAAGGAAACTACTTAAAAAAAGAAAAAGGAAACTAGTTGAATAGAGACTGCTTAGATTAGAGACCTGGACCCATCTCCTTAATAGGGAATCTTGGACAAGTCATTTATATTTTAGGAAAAAATGGAGATGGCAGTAATATGCATCCATTCAGTTGGTGTGATAATGAAATGAGGCACATAACAGCCAGCAGGCTCGTAGTCAGTGGGGACACACTGCACATGGAGCAGAAGGTCACCCTTCAGTAATTCTCGTGACCTGTCATTCAGCCTTCAGCTTGTTGGTTTGTGTCTCACCTTCTCCCTGGCATGTGTTTGTCTAGATCTGCCCTGGCTGCAGTCATCCTAGCAACAACGCTGACCGGCCGGACTGTCGCCATTCCTCAGCCTCGCCAGAGATCCCTGTCTGAGAGTGACACGACCTGCGTCGAAAAGGACAGTTTCATTGAGCCCTATGCCACCACCTCCGAGCTGAGGCTTCGGTGAGGACCCTGTCGCTGGCTCTGCTGCGTCTCTGACGGACGTGCATGCGTGCTTGTGTGTGTGCTTGTGTGTGCTTATGCGTGCCTGTGACTGGAGGTAGTACTCAGGTTTTCATCACCAGGGCTCAAAGGGACACTGTCCTGGGACATTGATTGCTTTTGACTCCTCTCAGAATTCTCTCTTGGGGGGCTCTTGTGAGATTATGGCTCGGGAAAGCCCTGGGTGTTTTCCTGGCCCCATAGAGCTAGCAAGTTCAGGGCCGCCTTCAGCCCCTCACGGGACTGTCCCATGCCACCACCTTGATGCGAGAGCTGTCACCCACCACCTCTTGTGTGGCCCTCTCTGAACATTGCTGCTGATTTTTACCTTCTTTGGCACCTATATTACAACCTTTTCTCTTTCACATCATGTGCTCTGTTGCTTGAGCTGGGCGACTGCCGACGTTGGGCTGGGCGGTCAGCAAGGTTTCCTCGTAGGAAGAGAGCACTGGCAGCAGAGCTGAGGAAGGTATAGGGAGTGCCTGGGAACGCCTCAGGGGCTTGGGGGAAATGGTCAGTGTGGGGCTCGGATGAGCTTTCAGGACAGAAGAGGGAGCATGACACAAGGACAGATGTGGGCAGCTGAAGGAAGATGTTTGTGGCAGGGGCTGGGGCACTTGGGTGAGGTGGGCAGTCATTCAAGATGGCCTGGAGGAGTGGGCAGGGGCCAGCCTGGTGATGCCTTTGGTGGCCTGTTCTGAGGTTTGGTCCTCCCCACCCCCTCCCGCTAGCTTTAAGGGCTTATGGGGTAGGGTTGGGGGAATACATGACCAGATTAGCCTTTTATCTGTCATGTTTATTCAATTTTGTTTTTTGAGGGTTTTTTTTTTTTTTTTTGCATACCTTTTTATGCAGTAAGATCTGTCAGTCTTTGTAGTTTCTGACATTATTGTGAAATTCTAGAAAGGCCTTCCCTATTCTTTTTTTTTTAATTTTTTAATTAACATATAATGTATTATTAGCCCCAGAGGTACAGGTCTGTGAATCGCCAGGTTGGCCTTCCCTATTCTGTGAATGCTCACTTATTTCCTTCTAGGACATGTTAATATTTTTGGTTTTCACATTTTAATCTTGACTTCATTCTGAGATGTTTGAATATAGCCTGTTTTCCTCATAAGAATTTCACTTTAGCTGGATTAGAATTTAAAGATGAGGAAATGATCTTAAACTTCACTAGAAAGAATGAGCAGATAAGACCATCAGAGGAAATCCAGAAAGAAAGAGTTTTGACTTGGGAGAGCAGCCACATCATACTTAAAATGCGTAGCTGAAGTAGTGTAAACAGTAGGGCTGGCTATATAGAGAGGTGCGTGTGGATGCCCTGAGGGAAACTGGGGTTTGCATGCCGGATGATGGTTTCATAAAGACCACTTCACAGAGCAAAGAGGAAGGAAGGGATTTGACAGTAGTAGAAAAAAAATCTGCTTCCAGCCTTGCCTAGTTCAAATACCAAACAAATTACTATTTAAATGAAAGGAATTTGTTCCTTTTATTTATGAAATGAAATTTATGTGTATGTTTATATTTATGTGTATGAACATACTCATAAATAAGAGCAGGAAATCCTATAGTCAGTGTTACCAAACCTCTGAAGTAGATGCCTGCAGTGCCCTTCTAAGCTAAGAATTTAGAAGGTAAAAAAGTGTTTTTTAATTATCTGTATTTAAAAAAGAAATTTACATAGCCATAATTGAATTAATAGAATAGGAAAAATACTTATAGTAAATACAAAGTTTTGTTTTTGTAGATAAATATAGATTAATTATAGATTAAATTTGAATTGAAATAGACCTATTAGAAGCAAAGTAGATCAGTAGACAAAGGGCATGAACAGACAGTTCACCACACAATTATTGCACACAAACAAATGGAAATATATTGTTTTGGTAAGAAATGCAAGATTTGGGGCGCCTGGGTGGCTCAGTGGGTTAAGCCTCTGCCTTCAGCTCAGGTCATGATCTCAGGGTCCTGGGATCGAGCCCCACATGGGGCTCTCTGCTCAGCCGGGAGCCTGCTTCCCCCCGCCCTCTCTCTGCCTGCCTCTCTGCCTACTTGTGATCTCTCTCTCTCTCTCTGTGTCAAATAAATAAATTTTAAAAATTTAATAAAAAAAAGAAATGCAAGATTTATACATGAGATTTAAATTCTTTTGCCAAGTTTTAGAAAATTGTTACTAATGGAGTCACTATTGTAGCTGATTGGTGAAATGATTTTGTGTAGTATGCCTGTAGACCCCCAAAAGAGTCATATCATTTAACTCAGCAGTTTACAGTTATCTGGTTCATAAGATGGATCCTAAATATGGAAGAGATTATTTGCATGTAGATGTTCATTACAGAGCGATTTGTAACAATAATAATGGGGGGAACTTAAGTACAGGAAGTAGCTGACTAAACTGGTATATCTATTTGGGTCTTACCTTTAACATTTCGACTTTAAATATGTGTTACCAATGAGACAAACTGTATATGTAGGCAGTGATAGGAACTAGAAAAGCCTACGTTAAGAAGCTTGTGTTACAATGAAGAAAGAAATGCTGAGTGTACAAGGAGATGGGATTGTGGGTGACTTAATCCTTTAGCTTCTGTATGTTTTGTAAGGTGGTTGTAATCATTTTATGGTGGGGACTTGGAGGTGGGTCCATATACTGATGAAGTGTTCGGGGGTTTGCTTGTTTGTTTATTTTTCTCCCCACCTTTTAATGTAGACCAAATTGGCAGAATGAGACCGGAAGAAGATCTTCTTTGCCATCCTTTGAAACGCTGGGCTCCAGGGAGGAGGAGGAGGACACGGATGCACAGCTGTCGTCTGGCTGCGACGAGCCGGAGGATGTCAGTGCTCCCAAAGCAGAGGGAAGTCTCAGTGCTGCCATTTATGCCGTGCCCCACAGAAACCAGGTGTGGCTCACATTCCAGAACGTCTTTTGCACCCTGTTAGCTTACTGTAAAATTGTGTAGAGTGCACCAGTAAGGATTTTCTTTTTTCTCTCCTGCCTTTAATGGCTTTTGTCTGGAGGCTGATTTTCTGAACATAGTCAGTCTCACGTTTTTTTATCTGGTTAGGCAACAGATTTCAGACTCTTTCCTTTATTGTTCAAAGATAGGGCCTTCAGAGACAAAGGTAAACATCCTCACATTCTCAGTGTAGATTTCCAGCCAATGCTAAGTAAACCCACTCTTTCCTCTGGCCCCCAAGGCTACTCTTTTCCTGTCACTTTTCCAGTGTCAACATGCATGTTGCAACCTTTCTTCAAATGCATGCCCGACAAGAGGAATGTTGTCATTCATCTCAGTAGTAGCTGACACTCTTTGAGCGCTTACCATACGGGAGTCTCTGTTGCAAGCTCTTCCACGCAGTTAGCCCCCACTGCCTCAGTGAGGTAGGTTGCATTTACGGCCCTGTCATGAGGGAGGAACCGTGGTACAGAGAGGCTGATGGAGCCCATTCTTCCACTGCTGCCCGAGCTGCTCTGGTTTCAATTCCGTGCTCCCAGGGTTTGGGAAACTAGATAACGCTGTTTCTTTAATGGCAAAAGACAGCACCCTAATTTCTTTTTCTTTTCTCTCTCTCAGTGTCACTATAACACGTGTTACAGTGACTATATATACAGACTTGCAGCATCAAATGATATTCAGATTGTATTTCTATTGAGTACCCCCTACTATATGGAATCAAACATTCAGTGGTCCTGGGGAGCTTAGTTTGAGGAGTCCTTCTGTGAGTGTTTCATGAACTAACCATCCATCACTTTGTAACACATGCAGACTATAGCAAGCAGAGTGAGGTTTCTCTACAACAGGGAGGCTGGAGCAGGTAGATGGCGGCCGAGCCCAGAGCAGGTTCTGCCGCGGGCCCAGGGGAAGTCCCTCTGCCCCTCAGTCTGCGTACTTTCTGGCCAGTATTTTACACTGAGTTTACAGACAGAGCTGTTTATCACTCAACTATTTTGGAAGTAAAGCTTGCTACCCCATTTCCCGTAGAAGAAAGAGAGTCTAGTGACAGAAACAACGTCCTTTGTCATTAGCAGAATACATATTTTGTTTTGTAGACACGTCTGTCATGGTGGCTTCAGGACCCATGTGCAGTTGGGAAATTTTGTTTTAGTTTAAAATGTGAAAAGTAGAGCAAGACAGCTAACAATATCGTTGAGGTTCTGGAGGGACCATCTAATGCTGGTGTTGGCCCGTGCAGGGGTGGGGGTGAGCTGGTACTACCACTTCGGAAAACTGTCTGACATTTCAGTTTCTATTAAAGTTGAACATCTATATTTTCTATAACCCAGCAAGAAAACACACGGAAAAAAGTAGAAAGTAATATAACACATTGGTATTCTCATTCTCCAGAATGAGCAAGTATTGACAACTTATCTTTTCTTGTTTCAGATTCTTTAAAAGGAAATTATAGTTAGGGTTGAAATCTTTGTCTCCCATCCTGGAAGACCATTTGGTCTTGGATTTGGAATACATTTTAGAAGTCTGTGTTTTTATTCTCCTACTACAAATAAGTGTCAGCAAACAGAGTACAATTTTTTTTTTTAATTGTAAATAGGTCATCATAGTGATCCAGTCATCTGCCTCTTGGCTTTTTTCACTTAGCAGTGAAGTCTTGAGATAAATTCACATTAACTTTTTTATCTGCACCCCTACTGACGAACATTTGGATTATTTCCTCGCACATTTGGTCCACGCACTTATGTGTGCTGGATCATGCCAGATGTTGCCAGATTGTTCTCCAAAGCGGCTTTTGTCCTTTTGCCTTCCCACTAGCAGCGTATGCATGCCAGTCACCCCATTTCTGTTCATCCCAGCCAAAAGGAATGCCATCCCTATGCAACCCAGGACCCAGAGGTGGACTTCTAGGAACTGATTGCATTTGGAAGGGCTTATCGAGTCTGTACCTTGTCCTGGCCACTGCAGATGGCATGAATGAAAGGGTGCTTTAAGCTGGAAAGGGATTTCAATTTCCCATAGCCTTACCATCAGGTTTTTGGGGGTAGGGGTGGTGAAAAGGTTATGGGGTGATGCAAGAGGTGGAGGAAGGCACATTAACATTTTCTGAGCCTTTAATATAGGCTAAGCAGCTTATATGTACCATCTCATTTACTGCATACCCTCAGGGTTAAGTGTGTGAAGAAACAGGGTAAGTGACTTGGCCAAGGTTGTTACCCATCCAGCCATCAGGGGCAGAGGCAGGATTCAGACCAGGGCTGCCAAGTTTCTCTGTTTAGAATTAAAATTTGCATTCATTGTCCTTTTACCTGTTGAGACTATTTCTTAGACATAAAGCTTTCTTTGAAACTGGCCAAATAGTCTCAAATTGATAAGATTAAAGTATATACCTTTGGGGGAAATGGGTGTGTGGAGCCAGTGAAAATGCTATTTATTCGCTCAGTGGCACCAGCTCTGAAGGAGATAGTGCCTGAGGGGTACATTTAAGGTCAAAAAGTAAACTTGCCTTCTCTGTATTTACTATAGACATTCTTTAATCTGAGGTAAATAATTTATAATTCTTTCCTTATGAGTCATTCCTACTTCCTTTAAAGTAAACAATTTTTAAAACTAGAAAGATAAGGAAACAGAGCGACCCAAATGAGGCGATTTGGATTTAAATCTATACCTCATGCCTCTCTCTGTGTTTCAGGGTAGTTGGGCAAACATCTGCATGTGAAGTGTGCACCTGCTCAGAAATGGCCTAACATGGAAAGGAAGTGTTGTTTTCAGCAGTTTTCTTATTGGTGCCACCCCAAAAGTAAGGCTGGAGGGGAAGTGGTGGGCATGAATTTGTGTCCAGTTCCCATGAAGCTAGTGTCCAGCGGACAGAACAGTGCCATGGGCATTCAGAGACCTGGGTTCAAGTCCCTGCTTCTTGACTTCCCAGCAGTATGGCTTGGGTAAGTCAGATAACCTCTCTGCACCCATAAAGGACTGTGTTGAGGAGGACACTCTGGGTAGGTCAGTAATTCAACATACAGTCATTGAGCAGGCAGTGAGGACCAGGCAGGGTGCTGGGTGCTGGAGAAGCTGCATAAAACAAGTCCGCAGTCACACAGTCACCAGTTAGCCAATCATAATTACAATAAATGTTACAAAGGAAGGTTATAGCGTGGCATGAGGCCATGTCAGCGGCGGGGGACGTAACTTTTCTTTTTTTTTTTTTTTTTTTAAGATTTTATTTATTTATTTGACAGACAGAGATCACAATTAGGCAGAGAGGCAGACAGATAGAGAGAGAGGTGGAAGCAGGCACCCTGCAGAGCAGAGAGTCCGATGCGGGGCTCGATCCCAGGACACCGGGATCATGACCTGAGCCGAAGGCAGAGGCCCCAACCCACTGAGCCACCCAGGTGCCCCTTTTCTTTTTTCTTTTTTTCTTTTTTTTTTTTAAGATTTTATTTATTTATTTGACAGAGATCACAATTAGGCAGAGAGGCAGACAGATAGAGAGGTGGAAGCAGGCTCCCTGCAGAGCAGAGAGCCCAAGGGACGTAAATTTTCTGAAGGGACTGTGGAGAGAGACAGCAAAGGGACAGGAAGAAGCTCCAGCCCCTTGCATTTCCCTTTGAGGTCACTTGATTCTTCTGCATGGCACCTTGGTAGGGTTGTTCATTATTCTTTGCAGTTCAGTAACTTCACCAGAATTCACTGTGGTGTGTGTTGTTATCTGTCCTTTCTTCCTGAAATTTAGTTTGATATTTAATTCTGCAGACACAGATTTTCATCTCCCTTTTTTGTTTTTGGGCGCATTTCCTTCCCTATTTTGTTTTATCGTTGACTAAGCTTATCTATTTATTCTCCTTTGGGAACACTTATGCATTTGTTGGCTGTCCTTTGTCTTCCATGTCTGCTCTATTTTCTATAATCACTTGTCCCTCTTTTTTCTTTTCAAAAAGAAAAGAATTTTCTGGGATTTGCTCTGTATACCCTCCTCTCTTTGTCACTGTGTTATTGCTTCTAGAATAGCTTTTACCTTCTCTGTATTGATTTCACTTTTCCTTTTGGTTTTTAGTTTTACCAATTTACTTTCCACATCTTTTGTTGCCTTGTTGCTTTTCTTGGTCTTCTGTATCTCTTCTTTGGGTTCTAGATGTCAGTCTATGCCATCCTTCATTTCATGGAGGGAATAGAAGCTGGATTCCAGACAGTAAAGGTGGGCTCTCCACTGGTGTCTCCTTTAGCTTCTTCTCCCCTCACTTCTGCTCTGTGGGAATGACTCTGCTTTTCCCCCATCAGAACGTCACTGTGGACTTTTATAACTGTGACACGTTGTGGTTTTTCGAGCATCGGCATGCCTGAAGTCTGAAGAGGTTTGGCAGCTTTTGGCTTCTCTCTCCGTTCCAAATTTCATCACTTTGGTAGCTGTTTTCTGCCATTGACTAAGCTTTCTCCTCCCCTCCCCATTCTTTTGATTGCTTTCAGTAGATTTTAAGGGAAGAGAGTGTAGTGTAAATGCCTTATTACTATATTTGAACAGAATTCATGAATGTTACCAAAGCTTTCCTGTCCTCGTTCTTGCTATTGTCGTGTTTGTGGATTTGCAGAGCATCTCGTTACAAAGTGCCATGCATTTGCCCACTTGTCTGTGTATTCATCCAGCCAACAGACTGGTATTTGAGGGTCTGGCATGTGCTTGGATGGAGACCCAGAGAGGAACCATTCATGCTGGGGTAAACCAGTGCTCTCTAGAATTTTCTGGAGGCCAAGAAATAGCAGACATTCTTCTGCTGCTGCCCTTGAGGATTAGGAATGTCCCCTTTCTGTCCCTATAGTTTTCAATTTATTTAAATTTTTCTTTCTGTTACACAGGTAATGCATGAATATTTCTTACAAAAGCTTTGGATAGTGCATGTAAAGTGCAAGCTTGTCCTGAAACCTGCTGTTCCTTCCAGTCCTCCTCTTCTCTCCAGGGGAAGCCTCTGTGGTCGCTTTGACATCTGTGTTGGGTTTTTTGTTTTTGTTTTTGTTGTTTTTTTAGCTGCAAAAATGAAATAAACATAAGGTTTAAATAATAGACCTCTAACTATCTGACCTGAAGAAGTCAGAAGGCAGGAGACTCTAATATTGTTTCAGCTGCTATCAAAGGCTAGTGCCTGAGATCCCCTTGGCCTCCCCCTCCTCATGGTCACCACTGGGTGCAGCTGGTCCTGATCCCAGAGCAGAAAGGAAGAAGTGGGGCAGGGGCCTTCTCATTATGCTGCTCTGTATTTATTAGGGAGAACATTTTTTTCCAGAAGCTTCCCAGCAGGAGTCTCATTGGTCACGTGGCCACCCCTTGACTAGTCACTGGCCAAGGATTCCCATGGTTGATTGCCTGGGGCTGAGTCCATTTGCACCAAATAAAATCAGGGATCTCTTAGCAAGAGAGAAAGGAGGGCACCGATTACTGGGCAGGCAGTGTAGGGGGCCTCCTGTGGCGTGATTCCTGCGGTCTCTGCATTTGCACGTGCATGTCCAGGTACGGATAGAAATACCTTCTCCAGTCTCTGTGCATGGAGGTTACTGACTGCTCCACCAGTACTGGCTCCTCTGCAGGAGGCTCACCCCCATCAGAAGCAGTAGAAAGCCAGGATAGCAACAGGGGCACCAAGTTGTCATTCCAGCCAATATGCAGAAGCCACCGAGAGAGTGAGCTCTGCCATCTTCCAGTAGGAAACATGAATCCCCAAACCCTTAGTCAAACATGGTGTTAGACGTCTGGAGGTCCTTCTACCTTGCATGGCAGAACTGCCCCTTCCAGAGTTAGTTCTTGGGAGTCCTTGACTGGCTCAGTCGGTTGAGCATATGACTCTTGATCTCTGGGTCATGAGTTTGAGCCCCACATTGGGCATGGAGCCTACTTAAAAAAAAAAAAAACAAAAAAAACAAACAAACAAACAAAGCCAGAAAACCAGACTTAGTTCTTGGTTCACTGCAAATTCTTACCACACGCTTGCCTTGACTTTGCCTCGACTTTGCCTCCAGGTGGAGTTAGCTGGACCTTCCTGTCGTTTGCCTCTAATGACCATAGAATGCATCTGGGGTGCGGTTCCTACCTTAGTATCATTGATGGGAGGAGAGGCTTCGGAGAAGGTGGCTACAGCCCATGGGCTGGGCCCTGTGTCATTCAGGTTAATCTCTGCTGGAGGCCAGGGAATAGTGAGGACTCCACCCAGATAATTCATTTCCCAGCAGCCTCACTCTGGAAGCCGCAAGCTTCCTTGCTATGTTGGCAGGTTTTCTCCTCCGAGGAATGTCAGAAGGCTTCTGACATCGCCGATCACTGGTGTGTGTTTTTGAACTTCATATGCCTGAAATCCCAGAACAGGTGTTTCTTTGCATCCAACCCCATTGTTAGGTGTGTACAGGTTTACAACTGTATCTTCCTGGTAAATTGGATATTTTGTCACTGTTAAGTGAACCTTTTAACATTTTGTATTTTGTATGACATTTTCCATGTTTCTTCTGTTTGATATTTGTACGTTCTGGTTTTTTCCCATCCTTTAATTTCAACCTTTCTCTATCCTCCTGCTTATCTGTGTCTTGTAAAGAGCATATTGTTTTTTAAAACAAGTTCACGGAGATATAATTCACACACCATGCTACTTCTCCATTCATCACTGCAGCAGATAGTTTTCTTAGTGAATTGGGTTTGACAAACTTTTCTTTTGTCTTTTTACTGAAGCATTTAGTCCTTTTATATTTAAGGTATACGTGGATATATTTGAATTTAACCTTGTCATCTTCAGTTTTTCTATTTCTCCCCTTATTCCTTTTTTTCCTTCAGTCTTTCTTTGAATTGATGATTTTTTCAGTTTGTTTTCTTTCCCTCTACTAGGTTGCAAATTATACCTTTCTTCCCCCTAAAATTACCCTAGTGATTATAGCATGTACATTCCCCTCTCTAAAATCTGGGGTGCTAGACCACCCAGGAAGAGCGTGAAGGAGCCTGGCACAGGTGCCGCAGGCACATGAAGACAGGCCATTCCCAGCATCTCTGATGTCCGCGCTGTGGCTGGTTTGGCCTACTTCCTTCCATTTCTTCAATATCCAGATAGGTTTTGTTTGCATTAACAAGGTAATTTTTATAATCAGAAGTATCTGGCAATTTAAGAAATGTTTTAAATTCAAACTTGTTCTTTTTTAAAAACTTTTTATTTTTTCAAGATTTTATTTGTTTGAGAGAGACAGAGATAGCGAGAGAGAGTGCATGAACAAGGAGGAGAGGGAGAAGCAGGCTCCCCAAGAGCAGCGAGCCCAATGCAAGGCTTGATCCCAGGACCCTGGGATCATGACCCAAGCTGTAAGCAGACGCTCAACTGACTGAGCCACCCGGGCACCCTGAATTCAAACTTTTGAATAGAAGCGTTTTTAGGTTTTATGGTCACAAATTCTTTAGGCTTATTAATCAGTGTATTAACTATACATAGAGGTACATAGACCATAAATGTACAGCTCAATGAAATTTTATAAAGCAGTGACCCCCTATCGATTAAAAAGAAAATGGCATTACTAGTACCCCAGAAGGTTCCCTTTGTGACAGGGAAGAGGTCACTGCTTCCCCGAAGTTCACCACCACCCTGACTCCCAGAGCTGATCAGCTCATGGAAGATCACCTTAGTTTTGCCTACTCTGAAAACTGTAGTTTTAGTCAGGACATCCTGTAGCGTCCAGGACATCCTGGAGCATTTGAGGGTCTTCAGTTGTGTGTCGCGGTGCTTGGTTCACAGTCCGTGCTGACAGTAGCCCGCTGTGCAGCCTGGCTGTTCAGGGACTAACTTGTTTTGCTGATGCTGGACACTGGCTTGTCACTCTTCAGAACACCACCGCCGTAGACAGCTGTGCACACACATGTATTCTGGTGGGCCCGCACGGCATCTAGACTGCTGGGTGGCACAGCTACTGTCCAGGGCCCATGTGGTTTCAGCCTTCGCCCTCGGAGACTAGCAGAGAGCGATAGTGGAGGCCCCATGGCACTTTCCCATTTCCTTGATGGGAGTCACTTAACTGATCTTTGACACAGCGAACCAGGCAGTTGGTTTCCAGGAGATAAAAGCTAAGAAGTCATTTCCTGTTTCTTCCTTCAGAAGCTCAGTAGAGTGGGAGACCCGTGTGCCCTCCTGAGTGGGGTCACCCTTGGAGCCCTGTTCTCAGAGCCCGGTGGGCCTAATAGCCCTAGCTCTCGGCTCCGAAACACCCCTTTTGGTGGACATCTTCCCAATCAGTGCTGGCACTTCTCTGTCAGCTTTGGGAACAGCCCTCCCCTTGCCCACAGTGCAGCGAAGCCCAGCTGGTCATGTAAGCAAGACTTCACTGAGGGCTCAGGAGAGCAGAAGGGACAGCAGCGCAGAGCGTGCCAGTCATGGCTTATTGTATCGGGCCTGGTTCACTGCTCTTCCCCTCAGCCAGCCTCTGCTGCCAGTGGACTGTCTCGGGCTCCTCCCGTGGAGGTCTGTAAGGGACAGCTCTGCAGCTCTGCCACCATTCAGGATACCTACATAGGACACCCTCCGACAGTGGCAGGGAGGGTTCTGCTCCCTCAGGAAACTACAGTTACAGAGAACCCACACAGCCAGCAAACTTAGCAGACCCGACGACAGACCTCGAGCCCACACAGTGACCTGGATGAGGCTTCTCCCGGGGCAGCTCGCCAGTTCTCGACTTACGTAGTGATGACTAACACGACTCTAACGGTTAGAGCCGTCCTAGGTGCTGTGCGGAGCGGGCGAGGCATAGCCCCCTTTCCTGGCTGCTCCCTGGAGGGAGTGAGGAAGGCAGGTGGCCCAGGTGGTGTGGGCAGGATGCGGAGTCCTCCGTGCTTGGACAGCACTGCCTGAGGGACCTGAGGTTTCATCCAGCCCTGCTGGGTGTGGTCCTTTTGTGTCTCCGTGGCAGGTGGCCGTGGAGGAGGTATGGAATAAGACATTTGAGTTTGACCGGAGGAAATTTGATACAGAGCGCGCTTACCACGTGTCCTTTTGTCTTTTGTAACAAAAAGGTTGCATTGTCACGTGGGGTGGACAGTGAAGATGATGAAAATATTTCTAAGCAGGATGGGTTTCCAGGCTTGCTTCTCACAACACAACGTACACAAGAAAAAGGTAAGAAAAAAAAATTAATGCAAAAGCATTTTGTGGCAATAAATATTGGTTAATTTTTTGGACATACAGCCATCGTACCTCTGCCCCAAGGTTCTGTGATTGTAAGTGGGAATATTCCTGAGTTCTGTTTTCATTGGAGACAAGTTAGTCGATGGCCACTTGCCTGGATGTTAGGCCATCTTTAACATATCAGGTGCTTCCTTTGGAGTCCATTCTGTCCGTTCTATCAGCTGTGAGAGGACACATGATGGGGAGGGTTAAGGCTCAGGCTTTACGTTCTACGCACTCCTTTCCCGCGGCTCCAGAACAGCTTTCCGCTTCCTAAGGGGGGCTTCCATGTACAGGTGAGAAGAAACCTGTCACACCGTGGGCACTGACAGCTGCTTTGTCGGGACCCTCAGAGTTCCTCAGGATCACGGGGACTGATTGGAAAACAATACCGGCCCCCTAATACCTGGACCAGAAAACAGTGGCTGGTTAGGTGGCATGTTTTATCCCTGTGGGAAAATCTATATGAATATTAAATTCGTGTTAAAAAATGTATCTCTTCTTTAATTATAGAGGTAATACTTTCTCACTATTAAAAAAAACCCTGAAATGTAGAATACATAAATGCACATAATTGTACTGCCATAGATAATCTTGACAATTTAGAATGTATGCATGCGTAACGTCCACATCATTTTGTTACCTGCCTTTTCTCTTACACATACCCTGAATATCTCCCTGTGTTTATTCATGTCCATCCGTTTTCTAACGTCTGTGCTGCCTCTGGCCTGGTGTGTTATTGTGAGACAGAATCCAGTCCGGAGACAGAAAGCAAGCACATGGTGATCTGAACAGGGAAAGTTTAATGTAAAGAATCATCAACTATCACAGAGTTGCCTGCAAAGAAGACAGCGGTAGCAGAGAGAGGGAAGAGCTGCTTTCGTACAGTTAATGCACATGTAGGGCGCCCAAGGGGAGAAACAGATTTGGAGAGTCACTCAAGGCCCAGATGGAAACATGGGGATGCTGTCGCTGTGACCCACTGGCTAGTGATAAAGTTAGCTGTGTTGTGCTAACAGAACTCGCTAGAAAGCCGCCCTCTCCAGAGGAGTGCCAGAAGAAGCCACCCAGGGAGAAGTGCTGACTGGCCACTTTTAAGGGAAGGAGGGAGGGAGCAGAAAGGACAGAGAGAGGGATGGAGACAGCCCTGGAATGAGGCACTCAGGCCCCTTCCTCCTCTGTGTGTCTCTGGCCCTCTCTGCTGACGAAGCTCATCGTTGCGCCCCTGGCAAGGTGCAGGGGGTGCAGGTCCACCAGTGGGCAGTGGGGGTGGAGTGCAGCTGAGAGGCACAGGGTTGGGGAGGGGCTCCTGCAGTGGTTTTTCTTTGTGGTGGGCATTAAAAGCCTCTGGACACCTGTGAAAAAGGCCCCACACCAGCCACAAATTCTAATGCAGTAGCTGTAGGCTGGGGCCCAAGGTCTGTGTTCTTATCAAGCACTTCAGAAAGTGCAATGCAGGTGATCCTTGGACAGCACCACAGAGTCTGCAGCTTTTAGTGGTTTGGTTCTTGGCTCTGTCATTTCCAGGTAATGAGAGGAGTGGCTACCTTACCTAACCTCGCTTGTGCTCAGTCTGACTGCACCTCTCATCGGATTCTCAACAGGGATTAAACTCCGTCACAGTGGGAAGTACAGCACGGTCCAGAAATGGGGGCTGATAATTCTTGTCTAGAGGCCAGAGCTGGGAAACTCTGTGAGCCACATGTGCCCTCCTAGCAGTAAGCGCCCAGGAAGACCAGATGCCCAAGTGCCTTCCTCTGATCCCACCCGTGCCCCTCCACATACTGTGCTTTGTCTTTCTTTTCCATAGCTCAGTTTGTCAAAAGACAGCTCTCTACATACCTCCTCCCTTCCCTCATCTGACAGCATCTCTCCTCAACACACTGCACTTTGGTTGGCTCTTTCTCCGTGACTCCCCCAAGCCTCTGACCCGCGTCCTGACAGCCACAGAGGGTGGTGTTCTGGCTTCATCGTATGTGGTTTCCCAGGAGCCATCCACACAGAGGATGGCTCCTGGTGTCTTAAAATCCATCTTTCCCCTGGCTTCATGACCTCTCATGTTCCTTGTCTCCTCTTGCCCCTTGGGGTAACCCTTCTTCATCTCCTTTGCAGGCTCATCTCCCTCTCCCTGCCCAGTCTATGTTGGGGTCTCCAAGGCAAGTCTAGGCCCTTTGCTCTTCTAAGCAGTCACGCTGATCCCTGCTTCCAGTACCCTTTGTTGTGTGTTACACAATATGGGTACATATGGAATGCCCACTGTCTCTCGCTGTGGTAGCAGCCAGAGCAGTCTTGTCAAAACACGAAGTAGCATCTAGTAGTGTCCCTGTTTGCTCCCCACCATGGGCCCCCACACCCTTTTTACTTAGATCTCTTCACTGGTTTCCCATAGCCTAAGAGACCTGCTGGGCCTGCCTCTGCTGGCCATTCTGCAGCCACACCAGAGTTCTCTTACTTCTTCAACTGCATGATGTTCCCCTCTGCCAGGGCCTTTGCACATGCTACTCTCTCTCCCTACCAGCTAATATCTATTACATATGAAGGAAGTGGAAGGAGGGGTTGTGTGTTCGATTTTTTTATGTTTTATATGTTCATATATATCTCAAAGGAAACACCCAGCTGATAACCATGGTTACTCTTGGGAGGGGAAAGGTTCAGAGGATTATGATCATGGGGAAGTTTTGATTTATCTGTATTATTAGCATTTTTGACAGCAGGACTGTGCTCCAATGGTGTGGCTTTTCTTTGAGGATGGGAATAGTGCCTAACATGGCATATGGTACACAGGAAGCCCAGGGTAGGAGACTTTTGCTGTAATTTGAATAGTTTATACCACTTGCCTGGCAGACTGTAAAAATGAAAAGGATAAGGAGTCGAAATGTTTTTGAGAAATGATCAGTGAGAAAACAGAGCCCAATGTACTGTACGTACATTAAGTACCAAAGTGAACTTGGGTGATGCCAATTCTGGCTGTTTTTTCTGAAAAGTTGGTGACTAAGATACAATAGGGATGATGATTTTTCTTTAGGAAAATAGGTGAATTGTCCTTTTTAAAACGTTTTATCATGACATCTTTCAAACATACAAAAGTAGAGAAAATGGTCAACGAAACTCCCACGTAGCTGACCCACCATCTACAGCTGGTAGCATTTTGCCATTCTTCTTCGTGAATCCTCTACCCTTCCCCAGTTTTGTCTGGTAAAGAATTTAAGGGGGCAGTCATTCAAGAGTTCATTAAATATGAAGACAGTAGGTCTGATGCAGCATTGGAAGTTACCAAAACAAGACTATTGCAACAGTTATTAAAAATGCAAAATCTTTTTGTAACAGTTTAAACATTTGTTCATCAGAGGCTCACCTACTTTGTGCCAGAGATGACATAGCTACTGGCCCCTCCACTCACATTCCATTTGCAGGGGAGGACATGCAGATGGGGGACTGTAGTCTGGGGTGCCAAGTGGATGGCAGAAGCAGCACAAAGACCAGGAGAGCAGTCAACATTGCCAGCCAGAGAAGGCGGCAGGTAGAGGAGGCTTTGTTAGGCTGGATTCGGAATTACAAGGCGGAATTTCATTGGGTACGCCAGTCTAGACTGCCCCAGGACATTTGATCAGACATTTAGATACATACAGATAGTGGGGGCAAGATGACATTTTGGTCAAAAATAATTTCTTCAGTGATTATCATTCAAGTGTTGGTAATTGTAATGAACCAGGAAGTAGATTTACAATCTTCTATGTATCTTTAGGCATTTTTGTCTGTTTCTGAATTCTCTTGGTTTTTGCATATTTGTTTCTAATTTATTTTCATCCAGTTAGTTCTGCTCTGTAAATTGACTAGAAACTAACAACAACCAACATTTCACTATGACAGAGGGCACAAGGCACTCTAGGACATAAAATTACCCTCCTTAGGGAGTGCCTTCATCCCGAATGTGTATTTGTAAATGGAGGGTAACTGAGCGAGATTTATTTGCTTTTGTATCACCAAGGTGGTTTGCTTCAAGGAACAACTATCTGTCTGACCAAGTCAGATGCTACTTCCAGGCAGAGAGGAGTGGGACCTCAGCACATTTGGGGAATAGCGGGTCATATATTTGGGGCACATTTGGGCAATATAGGATAGGGTCATGTTGGAAAGGCAGGGAGGGCTCAGAGTTATTCCCAAGGATTTGGCCCTGGTTCTGTAATCATGGGAGCCAGTGGAGGTGCTCCCAGATTAACAGAAGAGAGATGACCAATTCAGTCTGGCCCCTGCCTTGTCCGGACCAGCTTGCTGTGAAACCTTGCAAAGGCTGTCCCTACCCTGGGGCTTGTTCAGCTCATTGGTGGGAGGCCAGTTCCTATGATCGTGCTCTTCTGAGTTGTCAGATGTTTTTATCTGCTTTAAAAAAGTTTTCCTCTCTCTTTTTTTAATCAGATGATAAATATTCTGTTCTGAATTTAAAGGTAAGATTCATTTTTTAAAAACCAATTTTCTCAACAAATAGCATTTCTGCCATAATTTAAAAATTTTTGTGTGATTTGTTGGGTGGGGGGGGACATCTAGCCGTAGGAGTCCTCTCCCATTAAATGTTTTTTTAAAATACTTTTGAGGGGCAGCTGGATGGCTCAGTCGATTAGGCATCCGACTCTTATTTTGGCTCAGGTCATGATCTCAGGGTTGTGAGATTGAGCCCTGCATTGGGCTCTGAGCTAAGCATGGAGTCTGCTTAAAATTCTCTTCCTCTCCCTCTGCTTTTACCGCCCCCCCACCCCAGTTGCTTGTGTGTGTGCATGCATGTCCACACTTTCTCTCTCTCTCACTCTAAAAAAAAAAAATACTTCTGAAACGTGAAGAAACTCAGATTTTCTGTAGTTTAAAAATGACTATAAAAAATAACTAATGCACTGATTGGTTAGAAATCACATATATATATTTTGCAGAATGAATAGACTGTAACAAATTTGCAAATGTGGAAATAGTTTTTTTCCTCCTTTTTTGCAAACATGGAAATAGTTTTAACTTAAGTTTTAATGCTGCGATGCCATAGGAATTTCAAAATTAAAGATTTCTCAGCAGAGTTCATTCATAGCCTTTTCTACTTTTTCAGCAGAAATTAGAAACTTAATATCAGATTGATGTGTAATGGCAAAATGAACAAGGTGTAATGGAAAAATGAACAAAAGTTCAAAGCCTAATATTTGGGTTGAAAAGAAAGATCATATTCTTTTCTCAACACTTGGAAATGTGCTTCTCTATGGTGTAGGGTGTTTTTTTGTTTTGTTTTGGGTTTTTTTGCCTATCCCAAGGAAGAAAAGCCCAGTTTAGTCTGCCCCGTGCATCTCTGCTCGGCACCTGCAGTCCTGTCTTGTGCTTCCGAAACAGCCTGCGCCTGACAGCCTGCCCCGCTTGAGACCTATGTGTGAGAACACAGTGGCTAAACTCATGGGCAAAAAGTCAGGAAGACAGGGCGCCTGGGTGGCTCAGTTGTTGAGCCTCTGCCTTCTGCTCGGGTCATGATCCCGGGGTCCTGGGATCGAGCCCTGCATCAAGCTCCCTGCTCAGTGGGAAGCCTGCTTCTCCCTCTCCCACTCCCCCTGCTTGCGTTCCCTCTCTTGCTGTGTCTGTCTCTGTCAAATAATAAATAAATAAAACCTTTTTTTTTTTTTTTAAGATTTATTTATTTATTTACTTGACAGAGAGAGATCACAAGTGGGCAGAGAGGCAGGCAGAGAGAGAGGAAGGGAAGCATGCTCCCTGCTGAGCAGAGAGCCCGATATGGGGCTTGATCCCAGGACCCTGGGATCATGACCCGAGCCGAAGGCAGAGGCCTTAACCCACTGAGCCACCCAGGCGCCCCTAAATAAATAAAACCTTAAAAAAAAAAAAAAGAAGAAAGCTTGACCAGGACTTCTTTTAGTGCCTAAGAGAAGCCACCAGAAGGGCAAGTTTCAATTAAAAGAAACAATGGATATTAGAGTTCCTAAAGCTAAAGCAGACTAAGAGGTACAAGAGCCGAAGTGCGGAGAAAAAAGTGTAATTGTTTGATATACGCTGACCCAGCTGCTCATGCCAGTTTCCTTTTAGAAGATGCTAACACTTGTAAATCATTACTCTTGATTTTTCTTCCCCAGGATGAAAAAACGTTATGTGAGAAGCCTCCACCCTCCCCAGGTATTTGCCTTTTGAATTTTTTTTTTTTTTTAAGATTTTATTTATTTATTTATTTATTTATTTGATAGACAGAGATCACAAGTAGGCAGAGAGGCAGGCAGAGAGAGAGGAGGAAGCAGGCTCCCCGCAGAGCAGAGAGCCCAATGCGGGGCCCAATCCCAGGACCCTGAGACCACGACCTGAGCCAAAGGCAGAGGCTTAACCCACTGAGCCACCCAGGTGCCTCTGCCTTTTGAATTTAATTGTGATGAAAAGCTTATAATTTGGGAGAATGCCCAGAATCATCATGTCTAAAATAAAGGTCACTTTTTCCCCCTGTAAAGGCTCTTGCTTCTGTCCTGTTACTGAAATTGGGAAGAGGGGGCACCTGCGGGACTTCCACATTTGCTCTAAAAGAGAGGGTCTAAATGTTCAGACAATGAACGTGGAAGGTCTCCCCATGGGATGTGTTCAGACACTGGGAGGCCAGTGTCTGCAAAAGGGGGCTACTCTGTGTTCCCGGCACCTGCCAGGGCCAGGCCCATGCCGGGGAGCATGCCCACCTTTTCTAGCTCACCTCTCCTGGCATATTTTAAGCCGTAGCTTCCATCTTAAATCCTATCTCAAATGTTTTCTTTGTGGGACGCCTCCAAGTTCCGCTCTTGTTTTCAGTGGAGCTGTGGAGGTACTCATTTCTTCGACTACCGTTTCATGTCCTAGGGATTGGATATGATGTAGCAGGGGCCAGGGAGGCTATCTGGAGCCACCGGTCCTTCTGCTAGTCCTTGCCTGCCCCCTCCCCCCGGGGTTTGGGCAAGTCCCCTGTCCGGAGCCACTAACCCTCCTGCCCTGGGGTTGAGCCTCTGAGTCCTTCTCTTCATCTGTCCCTTCCTCTCTGCCCCCACTCTAGTGGTCATCCAGACTGGCTTCCCTGCCTCTGGGCTGGGCCTCATTCCCATTCACTTTCTTCACTGCTAGCTTCAGGGGCTCATCTGAGAGGAGAGACTCTTCCTTTTCACAGCTCTGCTTGAAAGCCTTTTCTGGTTCCTGGTGGCTTGCATGACAAAACCTCCGTGTTCCATATTATAGTGTGCAAGGACCTCCCTGGGCTCCTGCCTCTCCCTCAGCCACCTCTTTCCCTGTGGCTTCCTGTAGCCTCAGCAGACCAGCTACCCTCTCCCATACTACCCTCTCCCTCTCCCTGTGGCCATTCTTCTCACCACAGGGACCGAAGGACCTAGCACAAGGCCTGACCTGAAGGTGACTTGTGTGGTAGTTTTTTAAATACAATCTCTCATAATTTTGAGGTAAAATTGTAAAAATCAATATTTAAAAACAACTTCTCTGTACCTTTCCAGATGTAACTGGTAGAACACGGCAAAGATGTATGGAAATAACCAAAGAAAAGTTCAAGGAATTGAAAGAAGAAAATGTGCTTCTAAGCGGTGCAAACCAAACCCTTACTCTTGAACTTAACCTAATAAAACAAGCGATGAAAGAACTACAGTTAAAACTGAGAAGAACAGAAAAAGAAAACCGAAAGTTGAAAGAGGCTGAGAAAACATCTCCTCAGGAAGGTGGGGACAACAGTTCTTTTATTAGAGGAACAAGGAAGAATTCACCAATTTTCGTATTTTGTTCCCAGCTATCATGACCGCTAGTATTTTAGGTTGTAAATGTTTGCTTATGTTAATGTTGATACTATATTATAATACTTAAGGTTCTTTCATTAATATCCTTGTTCAAATTTGATTTTGTTTGCTACATCATTATTATGCTAAAGAAATTCCAATACTTCTTTTGGTTCTTTATGCTTAGCTTAGTATCTTACATACATTTCCTATCAGTTTTTTATCTGCATGAACAGCATATAAGAGTGCCTCTTCGTGAGCTCAAGCCCTACATCGAGCTCTGCTCTCTGTGTGGAGTCTGCTTGAGATTCTCTCTCTCTCTGCCCCATCCCCCTCCTCCCCCACACACACACTCTCTCTAGAGTATATGAATATATCTTTTGAAAAGTGCCTCTTTCTCTACATACTTAGCAGTGATGAGGATTATATTTTTCTTACTAATTTGACAAACAAAAAGGTGAGGGAGGAAATCCTATTTTAATTTTATTTGTACTTTACTATTGATGAGTTTGAGTATTTTTTCATATCTTTTCAGGTCATTTTCTTTCTCTTTCATAAATTTTCCCATTTTAAATTGAGATACTGGGATGCCTGGGTGGCTCTGTCTTTTAAGCATCTGCCTTCAGCTCAGGTCATGATCCCAGGGTCCTGGGATCGAGGTCTGAGTCAGGTTCCTTGCTCAGTGGAAGTCTGCTTCTCACTCTGCCTGCTGCCTTCCATGTTTGTGCTCTCTCTGACAAATAAATAAAATCTTTAAAAAAAAAAAGATGTTTAAAAAAACAGAAAAGGAATCCTTTTGAACAAAATAAATAAATTGAGACCCCTTGATTTTTTTTTTTTTTTTTTTTCTTACTGATTTGTAGGAGCTCTTTGCATGTTAGGAATTTTGGCCCTTTTTCATGTATGTAGTGGTTTCTCAGTTTGTTGATAATTTAGCTAAGTATAGGATATTTTTCTTTTATGACTTATGCCCTGGGTTAAGTCCTTTTTAACTTTAAGGTTATATAAATGTTCACTAATGTTTTCTCTATACATTGATCTGTTTATATTAGTCTAGTATTACGGCCTTAAGAAAAGTGTCTTCATACAGACTCTGTGTATTTCTTGTCTTAGCCACATCTATTCCTGCAACTTTATATTATTTGTGCTTTTGTTTTTTAGAATCTATTTTCTAATGTTTTCTAAATCTATTTTCTTATGTTTTCTAATAAGACATTACTATTCTATGGGAAGGCTCTTAGTTCTAATAAATTTTCCATTTATTTTATATGGCTTTCAAGGCACAACTGTATCATCTGAAACATTTTTCTTTGCAATCTAAAATTTTCATTTTACTTTAATTGTACATGCACAGACTTCCAAAACACTGTTGACTGTTCCATTCTAAAACTAAGTTACTAAACTTTTATTCATTAATGTCTATACATCTGTCCTCCACTGGCTCTGTGAGCCCAAAAGGGAAAAAAGATCAGGTGATTGGCAATTTATATAAAATCTTGATCAGTTTGGTATAAGTTCTTCTAATATTAAATTTTTTTTTTCAGTAGTTGCTGCCCCTGAACTACTTTATCTAAGAAAACAAGCTCAAGAACTGGTGGATGAAAATGATGCGTTAAAAATGACTGTCCATCGTTTGAATGTAGAATTGAGTAGATATCAGACAAAATTCAGGCATTTGTCCAAGGAAGAGGTAATGTTCAGTTTTAAAATTCCAGTTTTCTGATTTTTTAGGCTTTACTGTTGAATTGCTTTCTCTGTGTCTGCCTTTTGTCCCTTCCTTCCCTTCCTCCTTTCTCAAAACAAAAGCAATAAAGTCTATTTTTTTTTTTTAAGAAAGCCTGAGGATAGTACAGAACTATAAAAGTATATAAGTTAAGGAATAAAAGTCCATGTCAGCGGCTCCATTCTTAGTCCTGTTTCTCTTTTTTTTTTTTCATACATTACAATTTTATTTTTGTATACACATTTGTTTAACAGTCACTGCATTTCTGGACCAGGTTCAGGTAACTGAAGGGCCTTTATAATTAGTTTATATTGTCTAGATCCAAGGTATGCTTGCAAACTTAGGCTGGGGCAGAATGGGAAATAACATCTTTCTAGAGACAGGCTTAGAAACTCTAGTCCAGTAAGTTAAGATGTTTCCTACTCGGATAGTGGGGCTGACCCATGCCTGGCTACTAGGCCACCATTCACAGGTACAGCCAAGGTAACAGGGTACAGACCACCAAAAACAAGACCAACCAGTCCATCCCATGTTCTGATATAGGTTTCACAATTCAGATCACCTGTATTCAAAGGTAAACTACAAAATCTTTGTAAGATATGTGTGCAGTCAAAAATGGGCTCACTGCCATCGGTAGGCCCCAGCTCTATGAGCCTGTGTCACATTTAAGATGCATCAAAAAAGACTATTTGCCCTTAGACCACAGAGACCAGCATTAAGTCTGACATGTTGATTCATGTTCAAACAGATTCCTTTCTGCTTTTGGGAGTTGGTTAATTTTTCTGGTTATGATATTGAAAATGAAGTCTTCTTGACAGTGTCATCTGGTTCATGATTTTCCATCTTGAGCCTTATGCTAACAGCATTTGGTGCCTCCACCCGTCCTCCGTGGCCACACTGGGCCTTCTTCCTACTTTGGTCACCTCCCCAGAGCGCAGCCATCTTTGGCTGACCAGTCCTGCTCCTCGGGGTATAGCTGTTATTTGTTGGTGTACCAACTTCGGAAAGAAAGCAGACTAGTTTACATAACTGCCCCACCCCCAAAATCATCCAGCTCTCATAGCCCATGGGACTTGAGTTCCTGATTCCCACAGGACTAGCAAACAAAGAATCAGTTTTGAAACAGGCATGGGAGCACCCCTCTGCGACTCCACACTGGGTTCAGCATGGGGGAAGCAGGCAAAAACAGCCACATCCTACTTTTTCCCTGGAAGGGGTTTGGCTGCATACTTTCCCAGCTGCTGCCTGAGGTCTGGTTTCCAATCAGCCTGCTTCTAGGTGCTGAAGACAGTCTTCCCTTTCAGGAAATTAATGAATCTCTGTACACCCTCAGCTACTAGGAGGCGCTGAGAAGAAAGCGGCTTAGGCAATTCACAGATGTTTGAGAGGCAAGCAGATACTCAGGCTGGGCTGGTTGATGAGTCTCGTCTCATAAGAGACCAGTCCGTCAAAACTGGGAGATGTAGGCTGTGAAGAACACCAAGAGGAGCAAGAAGGTCAGGTCCTTGCCCTTAGAGAGTAGTGCACGTGAGGGACGGGGTCGCGGGATAGAATAGGACATGTCAGGATACGCAGCAGACTGCCCCTGCTGGGATCAAGGTGGAAAGCCAAGGGCACATCTGTTCTCACGTGGTTCCTCGGAATCCAGAGCAGTTTCACAAGCTTCTGATTTTGCAGTAGGACTTAAGTTTAAATTTTTAAATAACAGCATTGAGATATAATTCACATATTCACTTCACCCACTTAACGTTCACAGTTCAGTGATTTTTACTGTCCTCACAGAATCCGGCAACCATCACCATGGTCACATGTAGAACAAGTTCATCATGACAGGAAGTTTCCTGCCTGCTAGGAGTCACTCCCAATTTCCCCCCACCACCTGCCCTGGCTCCCCCGTAAGCACTAAGCTACTTTCAGTCTCTGTGGATTTGCCTGTTCTGAACATTTCACGTCAACAAGATCATACAACATGTGGTCTTTTGTGACTGACTTCTTTCACATAGCATGATGTTTTTTTACCTACAGCAAAAAAAGTTAACGTTCTAAGACAAGCTTCCTAGGCCAGGGCCTTTTGCAGGGCTGCGGGCGAGCCAGTTCCCCTTAAAAGGGTACAGACAAGTGGGCCCAGTGACAAGCCACTGCTCTCCCACACTGTCCTGCCCTGTGCAGATGCCCCATTCTCCGTGACAGCCTTCCCTGATCACTCCCGTTATAGAATCTCTCTTTCTCAAATCATCTCAGACTTTTGTTTGTACCACTCTTAAAGCAGCTACAACTTTCTGCCCTATACTGTATTTTTGTGTGTAGTGTATTATGTTCATTTGTGTGAGAAGACTTCTGTTGTTAGATCACAAAATCCTGGAAAACTGTTGCATTGTGATGTCTATAATGAGTTAGAGAGTTATCACTGTTTGCTGAATGAATGAGTGATGAGTGTTGAGTCACAATATTGTACACCTGAAACTAATATAATACTGTATTTAACAACACTGGAATTAAAATGTAAAACCTAATGAAAAAAAAAAAAAAAAAGAACAAGGCCTGAACTTTCAGAGGAAGCATTGTTTAATTTGCCTTCACTATGTGTTTTTTTCTTAGACTTTAAATATTGATGGCCTCCCATCAAAGGGCCCAGCACCACCCTGGTTGGTAAGTAAAAGTTACTTAATTTCAGGCCTGTATTTTCTGGGCTATAATTGAGTACCTATGAAAAACCATTCCAGATGAATTAAATTTTCTTAGCTTCTGAAAAATGTGCTGTTTGTTTTCAGATGTAAGACCCAAGTTAACCTTCTTTATTCCATTATGTTCAGTTGGATATAAAGTACCTGTCACCCTTGTTACTGGCCTATGAGGACCGAATGAAAGAGAAGGATGAGCTCAATGCCACCCTTCAGGTAGGCTGGCAGACGTCTCAGGACAAGGTTTATAAAATATAAGACTGTTTAAAACTTTAAAGAAACATTTTGAAGATAGGTATGCCCCAGTATCTACTATGTACTCAGATGTCGGAGGGAGGGAAGGAAGGATGGAAGGGAAGAGGGAAGGGAGGAAGGAAGGAAAGAAAGAAGGAAAGAAAGAGCATAGTGGTACCAATGGGTGGGAGAGAAAGAAAGAAGGAAGGAGTCAGGGAGGGAGGGATCAGTGGAGCGGGAGGGGTGCATTGGGGTGGGTGGGAGAGGTATGGAGGGATGGGATGGTGCTGCATGGGAAGCCCAGATTTCCCAGGCAGGTAGGGGAATTAAGTTCAGACTTAAATGCTTCCTTATTCTCTGAAGAGTTGACCCTAGGGAAGTCCTATTCTGTTGGTAGTGGTGAGGGGATCAGGTTTTTGTTGATTCTGCCTGATCACCTCTGTTTCATGGGAATGGCCTCTGGCAGCAGAGCTCATTCTCATTACACAGGGGGCAGGGCTATGTGGGTATGCTAGATGTGTCCCATCCTCTCCCTCCTGCTCATGTAAGTGGCCAGAGATCTCTGGAATTGGAAGGATCCAGAGAGAACAGTTTGGATTCCCTGAGCTCTGGCTGGAAGGGTCTGTTAAGTCCCGCAGCCTACCCTTGTTACACACTAACTCACACACATGGTCCACGTGACGTGCTTTTGAACCTTTTCTTCTAGATTGGACACTTAACTTTGTAAAAGAGTGAATTAATCTTACACTAATTAATTAGCTATCAAGCCAAATAATTTAACAAACTTAGTTCGGTGTCTCTTCTAAAACTGGGTTCAGGGAACGTTTTTTGTAAATGGCATTAAGTCAGTATTTTAGGCTTTGCAGGCCACAGGACCTCTGTCTGCAACTCCTCAGCTCTGCAGCGGTAGCAGGAAGGCAGCTATAGACAAAGGGCAAATGAATGGGCGTGGCTGTGTGCCCATAAAACTTTGCTTACAAAACACGCCTTGGCCCTTGGGCTTTAGTTTGCCCGAAGCCCTGTTCTGTAGAAGGGCAGTCAGCCATTGAGGAGTGTGTCTGGGCAGAAAGGTAAAGGAGAAACTCCTTGTCATTGTTGAGCTAAACCCGTATAAGCATAAAGGTCTGAGAGAGCTGGGAGAAGAATATTTAGAAGCATCCGAGAATAAACATTGGTAACCAAGGCTCTCCCTGAAGGCCAGCGCAAGACAGGGAAGCCCAGTGAGGGCTGGCTAAGAGAAGCAGGAGGGAGGAGGCCCCACAGGAATGCCAGAACACAGTGTTCAGGAGGCGAAAGCAGACCCCATGGCAGTCCTCAGTCCTTGCTGATGATGGCGGAGCTGTGATCACCACCAGGGCAAAATCAGGAGACTCCAAGCCCTACCCACGCTGACCCCATCTTTTCCCGAGTGGGCTTTAATTAGGAGGAAAAGTTCTTACTTTTATCTAAAAAGCTCCAATTTATCCTCCAAAGTCTTTAAACAAAGGAAAGATTGCCATGTTCCTAGGCACCTCTGCTCTTTTTTGACCTGCCTTTATCTTTTCAAGTATTTGGCAATTCTAGAAAAATGTTATCAAATCGGGAATTGAGCATTTCAAACCCCAAGGCTATCTGTCCCTTGCGCTCAGCATCAGCGTTGTCTCCTGGTTCCCCAGCAGCCCCTGGGAGCTCCTGAAGGGCTGGCACCTGGCACTGGTACCTGCTGTTCAGGGATACTTTGCTAGAAAGCTGCTGACCTCTGACCCGAGGCGCGGCAGCGGCACGAGAGCTGAGGATGGGGCCGAGTGTGTCTGTGCGTGTTACAGTTCACCTGTGTTGCAGGAGGAGATGAGGATGTTTCGGGTGCGAGTCCAGGAAGTGGTGAAAGAAAATGAAGAATTGCACCGAGAGTTAACCAAGAGTAGTCCCGTGACCAGTGAGGAATGGCAAGTGGTGCTGGGTTTCTGGTGTTTTGGTAACTCAAAAGAAAACAGAATAGTAGGAATAAACTTTATGACATCGTCAAATACATTTTCTTTTTTGAACTAAAATATTTTCAGGGAGAGTTTCTAAGAAATTAATAAGGAACAATGACAATATACTAGTAAATGATTCTAAGCTTGAATTTTAAGGATTACATTTAAAATTCTAAGTAGGTTTTTAAACCTGAAATCCATCTACACTCCCCCTTCTTATTTGCTGAGGTGGCATTTCTCTAGGGCAGCCTTCTCATTGAAGACCTCTTGAGCCATATCCTTTTTGTGCCCCATGACTGTTCCCAGGGCTCTAGAACAGGAAGCTCAGGATGGGGCCCTGTACGACTAGCTCCCGTCTGCCCTGCCCTTTCAAGATTCTCCGACAGCTGAGTGTGGCCTCCCTCCGGCTCTCTGCTGAGGCTCCTGCTTCACCCCAGAAGGCCCCTTCTGCACTCTTACTTACCTGTCAGGCCCTGCTCACAAGGCCCTGATCGAATGGTGCTGGTCAGTAGCTCTCCCTGAAGGCAGAGTTCATGGCTCCCTTGTCTCAGCTTCTGACACAGCCCGAGACGCACGCGCCATCCTGGTACCTGCCATGCTGTGCCTGCCTGGGTGTCTCCGTGTCTGCCCTGTCCTCCTCTCTGAGCTCCTCCAGGGCAAGGCCAGGTCCCGTTCATCAGCACAGAGGCAATACTGGCTAGTCAATGCATAGGAAAAAGTAAATGTCTTAGAAAGTCTAAAGGCACTATCCAACCCACAGACTCTTCAGATCAGTCCTTTTCTCCGTGGATGGCTATATTTAGTAACTCTTAACATGTCTTAACATCACTGAACAAAATTGAAATGTTTTCCATGTGTGATGTCCAGGAATTTAGAATAGGAGCCAACAACACTCCTGCCATTAGGTGGGTTCTCACTGATGTGACGGTTGGGATTGGCCTGGGAAGCTTAGTGCACTGTGCACTTAGTGCACTTAAACCTTAGTGCACTGTGCCTTCCCCTGTTGAACCTGGATTTTCTTCTGTCAGGGCTCCTAACGTGCTTGCACTGGAACCCTGGAAAGCAGGTCAGTTAGACTGCTTCCAAGAGCTCTCCAGAAAACTGAGATCACAGATCCTTCCTCTAACCTTGTATATAAATACCAGTCAAACCCATTTGCTTCTCTATAAAATCAAAATAAAGAAAGACCTCGCTTTCAAATTGACATGTGCAGTGTTCCCCTATCCTGTTTCTTTGGGTTTGCACTTGGCATCTGCTTTAGTGTGGTGGACGGGCAGTGTCTGGGGAGCCATTAGGTCTTGTGGTGCCTCTGGAGCCCCTCTAGCTGGCCTCCCCTTTCCTCCGAACTCCCTGCCCTCCAGCTGGTGGAGGGGGTGGCATGGTTCATGGAGGCAGATCTCCAGCCACCCGAGAAGCTCCTGCCCCTGTGCCCTCCCTCAGCCTCCCTGGCTGCTGCCCCCGTCCCTGTGCACACAGGTGGGGGTGCCTAGATACTCTGGCATACCAGCTTCCGACTTCAGTCGAAGCTCTCCCCTCAGTTTCACATAATTTCTCCTTGAACTTCTGGGCTGCAACTAAACTCTGCATTTCTTTTCTGACTTCTCTGACCGGCTGGGATACCTCATGCTTTGCAGGCCTTAGTTTCTCCACCCATAAAATGGGAGGGAGTATTAAACTAAATGTAAGGCTTTAACTTTTTTTTTCTCTTTTTAAGAAATAGGAGAGTCCCTTTCATTTAAAAAAGAAAGAAAAGGTGGAGGGAAGATGGGAAGGGAAAAAAGGAAGGAGGGAAGGAGTTAAGGAAAGAAGAAAAGAAGAGGAAAGGAAGGAAGGAGGAAGCTAGGGAAGAAGAAGGGAAGTCCTAAGAAAGTCCAAAGTGTAGGGGCACTTGGGTGGCTCAGTCAGTTAAGGGTCGGCCTTTAGGTCAGGTTATGATCTCAGAGTCATGGGATCCAGCCAGCACTTCAGGCTCCCTGCTCCGCAGGGGGCTGCTTCTCTCCTTCTCCCCCTCCCCCCTGCTGGTGTGTACCCGTGCTCTCTCTCTCTAATAAATAAAATCTTAAAAAAAAAAAAAAAAGTTCAAAATGTAAACAGGAGGAAGTGAAGCTAGTCCTCCTGAGGTGAGAATAAGGAGGCCAGGCCAGGGGAGCCCTGGTGGGCTCCTGTTCCTGGGCTCCCATTCTGTACAGCAGGGTAGCCAGCTCCCTCCCCATCCTCGGTGCTGTGTGGGCAGCCCCTGTTAGAGGGAAGTCATTGCTACAGCTCGACTCCTTTCCTCTTTTTTCTCTCCTTCCTCCACCTTACTTTTTGAGTTCACAGTGAAAAGTTGTGATAATTTACTGGTTTACCATTTGCTTTGAATGGTTAGCATTTAACCAGATTTCTAAAGAACCCTTTAGCTCATTCTAATTGGAATTTTTGGTCACCAAGGTTGAGCTGAGCCGGGATTGACTTCGCACCCTCTGTAAGGAAAGGGCAGTTTTAGTATAGTATGGTTTAAGAAATCAGCCAGAGGCTTTTCACAGTCATTATTTGGGGGCAGATATGCTATTGATTATAAGGGAGTACTTCTCAGTCAAAATGGGAACTTTCTGAATTCTTTCCAAATTCTTCTAATTCCCTCCTGGCTTCAGAATAATCCAGTGGGAGTCAGAATTGGAGGTTAATACATGAAACAAGATTGGCCATTTGGTAACTGTTCGAGCTGGGTGTGGTGTTGTGTACTTGAGAGTCTGTTCTCCAATTCTTTTCTGCTTTTGTGTATGTTTGAAATGTTGCATTTGAGAAAGTTATTGAAGCAGTTCATAATGCAAACCTTACCGCTCCTCCCCCATCCCATTCAATGTGACTGGTAGGATGAGCTGTGTGAATGACGTGTTTAGCATTAAAACTCGTCCAGATGTTCATGGCCAGCAACACATCAGTGGCTCTCTTTTAGACGCCGGAGTGTCTCTGTAATCATTCAGTACCTGAGGGGCAGAATTTAACTTTGTAAATCAATTGTAGGCGTCAGCTTCAGACTCAGGCGGAACTGGTTTTAGAGGAGAACAAGTTGTTGATAGAGCAGCTGGAGGTTCAGCAGAGAAAAGTCAAGGACACCCACCAGGAGCGTCTCCAGGAAGGTGAGCTATCTTTCCAGCATCACTGGACACCGGCGCCTCCGCCCCCCACCCTGCTCCTGGTAGGACCCCCTTCAAATTACAAGTGGAGGAAATCACATTTCTAGAACGTGTTCCTCTTCACTGAAAGGCAGCTCTTTATGTTACAATATACCCAGTGTTACTCATAATGCATTGATCGCTTTCTCTTAGATTCTACCGCGTCTTTCCAGTTATTCTATATATCTTAGAAAGCGGATGTAGATGACCCCTTTAGAGTCAGCAGAACTGGCTTTGTGGGGATTAGAGCCATGTAAGTGGAAAAGATCATGTGAGGTGACCCTTTGAAACAGCGCCAACAAGGGTACCTGAATATTTGTTATGGGAGTGAATGAGTAGAATGAATTCTCTCTCCGAACAGTTTCTTTGTGCTCCTGCCCTTCCTGGTTCAGAGCTGTGGGTGCTGTGACAGACTAAGTCTCCCTCCTGTGCCTTTCGTGTGTACCTCCCTGCCCCTGGGAGCCTCAGAGCTCGTGGCCATGGGCTTTGAAGTGGGCCAGATTGAGTCATTGCTTCCACTTTAGTTGAAGCCCAGAGCACAGAAGGTGGTGGCGTTTTCTTGTGCTTTACTGACTTTCCTGGTGAAAAGTAACACAGCGCAGGAGGGCAGAATGTAAGTGTCTTGACTGAGTCAGTGTAACCCCTCCTTTCTCTCTTCCCCTCTGCTCCTGATTATGTAACGATGCCCTTAACGCCCTGGGCACTGAAGCCCCCACTGCTGCTGAAGTTACTCCATCTGTTTCCACAAGCCAGCTCCTGTGTAAAAGTGAGAGAGTCTGGGGGCACCTGGGGGGCTCAGGCGGTTGAGCATCCGACTCTTGGTACCAGCTCAGGTCATGATCTCCCACTTGTGGGATCGAGCTCTGACCAAAGCCTGCTTCAGATTCTCTCCCTTCCCTCCCTCCCAATTTTCTCTCTCTCAAATAAATAAAATCTTTAAAAAGTTTAATATAAAAATATAAAACCTCAGAGCATCCAACAGGAGCTTAGTCACAGGACTTCCCCTTAGCCTCTACGTGGCACAGACGTATTTGCCTTTACTCTGGCATTATTTGGAAGTGGAAGAGAGAGAAAGTTGTCCTCCTGTCTTTGTTTTCAAGACCAGAGATGGCAGAGAAAATTAATTTTGTATTTCCCAAGCTTAATTTCTTCAAATGTCACAGATGTGAGCAGGTATGTTGCTGGTTCTGGTTGTGTAGATTGGGCCAACCTTTAGGCCTCTGTAATTTGATCGAGTCAGCTGCTTGTCCTGTTTTCCTGTCTCCCAGAAGGAGCTATTCATTTTGACCAACTAAATCTTTTCATAGAGTAGAAGGATTTTTTAAAATTTTATTTTTTCAGTGTTCCAAGACTCATTATTTAGGCACCACACCCAGTGCTCCATGCAATACGTGCCCTCCTTAATACCCACCACCAGGTTCACCCATTCCCCTACTCCCCTCCCCTCCAAAACCCTCAGTTTGTTTCTCAGAGTCCACATTCTCTCATGGTTCGTCTCCCTCTCTGATTTACCCCAGTTCATATTCCTTTTCTTCTCCTAATGTCCTCCATGTTATTTCTTATGCTCCAGAAGTAAGTGAAAACCATATTATAATTGACTTTCTCTGTTTGACTTATTTCACTCAGCATAATCCCCTCCAGTCCTGTCCATATTGATACAAAAGTTGGGTATTCATCCTTTCTGATGGAGGCATAATATTCCATTGTATATATGGACCATATCTTCTTTATCCATTCGTCTGTTGAAGGGCCTCTTGGCTCTTTCCACAGTTTGGTGACTATGGCCGTTGCTGCTATGAACATTGGGGTTCAGATGGCCCTTCTTTTCACTACATCTGCATCTTTGGGGTAAATACCCAGTAGTGCAAATTGCAGGGTCATAGGGAAGCTCTATTTTTAATTTCTTGAGGAATCTCCACACTGTTTTCCAAAGTGGCTGCACCAACTTGCATTCCCACAAATGGTGAAAGAGGGTTCCCCTTTCTCCACATCCTCTCCAACACATGTTGTTTCCTGTCCTGATAATTTTGGCCATTCTAACTGGTGTAAGGTATCTCAGTGTGGTTTTGATTTGAATTTCCCAGATGGTTAATGATGATGAACATTTTTTCATGTGTCTGTTAGCCATTTGTGTGTCTTCTATGGAGAAGTGTCTGTTCATGTCTTCTGCCCATTTTTTGATATGATTATCTGTTTTTTGGGTGTTGAATTTGAGGAGTTCTTTATAAAGCTTGGATATCAGCTGCTTGTCTGTTGTTAAAGCATAAAACTTTAAATCCTTCTACTCCGTAGAAGTACTTACTTCTAAGCGCTGCTTTCAACAGATGTCTGGGAAGTGTCTTATCATCACATATACGGTGTTGCCCAGGACAAAAATATTTATGATTTACTTTAAAATAAAAGAGAAGAAAAGTCATAAATTCAGTCTGTAGTTGGGTCCTATTTTATGTCCTTAAAGACTTGAAAATCTTGCAATTTTAGGAACAACATCATGACGATGAACGTCCATGTGTGACTTAAGGCTTTGGTCTTCAGAAAATCCATTCCTTGAAGGCTAAAATCCTGTCTCGTTTAATTAGCATCATGTATTAGCAATGATAACAACATACTGAGCCCCAGTACTAAAGTCGATATTTAGTGAATGTTTAATATGGGGAGAGTAATTTAAGTATAAGGTTTTGGGTATTAATTTATAAATCTCCGAAAGGTTTTTTTAAGAGTATTATTTATAAGCTGGCTCTTCTTGGTATTACCTAGTAATTAATAATCACATTTTCTTAAGTCTTCTGTACCATCTCATTTGTTTTTCAGTTTCTAAACTGACTAAACAGCTAATGCTTCTGGAGGCTAAAACACAGAACCAAGAAAAAGAACTAACCGAAAACAAGGAGCAGTTGGAAATTTTAAGGACCGAATGCCAGGACTTAAAAACACAGTTGGATGGCAAAATTGCTATCAATGTTCATGCTTCAATTGTAAATGAATTAAAAAGGTAAGGCTACAATGTCTGGTGAAGTTTGAGTGCATCATCGTGCGTGTGGTTTTAGGTGGAGTATAGAGAGGTTGCCCATCTTCTGAGTCATGTAGCTGTACTAGCACAGGTGTCCAGGACTGAGAATCATAAACCTGTTATTACTGAAGGCACTATGCCTGTCCTTGAGGACTATGGTCTGCACTTTGTGTATGATTTCTTCTCCTCCTACTCTTTTTTTTTTTTTTTTTTTTTTTTTTAAAGATTTTATTTATTTATTTGTCAGAGGGAGAGAGAGCGAGCGAGCACAGGCAGACAGAGAGGCAGGCAGAGGCAGAGGGAGAAGCAGGCTCCCTGCCGAGCAAGGAGCCCAATGTGGGACTCGATCCCAGGACGCCGGGATCATGACCTGAGCCGAAGGCAGCCGCTTAACCAACTGAGCCACCCAGGCGTCCCTCCTCCTACTCTTCCAGCCTTTATTGGCTTTACACCCAAAGATAATTTTAAAGTGGTAGAACTGGAAACCTGGATATCCAGTAACAGGGAATGGATTAAATGAAAGGGTGCACCCATAAAATGAATTGCAGTGCAGCCATTAAACAGGATGTCACAAAAGAATCTTTTGGGAAGTTTGGGAAATTATTTTTAAGTGAAGAAATTAGATTACAAAACAGTATGTATAGAATGATCACAATTTTGGGTGCCTGGGTGTCTCAGTGGGTTAAGCCTCTGCCTTCAGCTCAGGTCATGGTCCCGGGGTCCTGGGATCGGGTCCCGCATCTGGCTCTCTGCTCAGCAGGGAGCCTGCTTCCTCCTCTCTCTCTGCCTGCCTCTCTGCCTACTTGTGGTCTCTCTTTGCCAAATGAATAAATAAAATCTTTTTAAAAATTTAAAAAAAAAAGAATGATCACAATTTTGTTTAAAAAGAAGATTGTATGTATATATATGTATTAAGGTAACCAACCATCCCAGTTTGCGTGGGACTGAGGTTTTCGCAGGATGTGGGAATCCCAGTGCTAAAACCGGGAAAATCCACGGCAAACTGGGGATGAGGTGATTATTCGTGTGTGTGTGTGTAAGTGTGTAATTACATGTGTGTATAATTACATATATGTATAAATACATATACACACTTATATGTGCATGGTCACACACACATATACCATAAGTATGTAGAAAAAAGACTGGAAGAAGGAGAAAATGCTAACAAGAATTCTCTTTGGCAGGTGAAATTCTGTGTCTATCAGTAGTCAGCATTCTCTAGAAAAACAACTGACATATGTAGGGTACATATATAGATATTTCTAGAGAGAGAGAGTTTAAGGAATTGGCTCACACAGTTATAGGGACTGGCAAATCCAAAGTCCATAGGACAGCCAGCTGGCTGGAAACTCAGGCAGGATTACTATGTTAGTCTTGAGGCAGAATTCCTTCTTTGGGCAACCTCAATTTTGGCCCAGGGAGCCTTCAACTGACTAGATGGGGCCCACCCACACTATCAAGGGTAATGTTTTACTTAAAGTCAGTTGCTTATAGATGTTAATTACATCTACAAAATACCTTCACAGCAGCATCTATCTAATATTTTTCCAGACAAACTGGGCACCATAGCCTAGCCAAGTTGACATGTAAAATTAACCATCAAAATGAGTATTTTAAATTTTCTTTGTGTTTATTGTAAATATTTTACATGTGTTCTATTATAAATATGCATTGCTTTTGTAATGGGGAGGAAATAATTTTTTTAATGGTGAAACTTTCAGCTAAGATGGTTGACGTGGGGAGTAAGAGTGCATGTGAAGTGCTTAGTTTCGTACTTTAGTAAATGCTGGGGAGTCCAACTACTGGACCCCAGTGTTTTGACTGTACTATTATGTGCCGTCTGGGCCAGACCCATCCTTTACTTTTCTATTCCAGGAGAGGAAGGAAATTTTTTTTAAAGTTCTGTTCATCTTTATGATTTTATTTCCCTCAAACACCCACTCCTATAGCTGATGTTTTTTTGTGGCTATCAAAATCACATTTTCTTTTTTTTTATCTTTTTAAGATTTTATATATTTAGAGAGAGAGAGCGAGTGAGTAAGCAGGAGAGAGCGGCAGCGGGGGAGGGAGAGGAAGAGGGAAAGAATCGCAAGAATCAACACGGGGCTCCAGCTCATGAACCTGAGATGGTGACCTGAGCCGAAACCAAGAGTCAGATGCTCACCTAACTGAGCCATCCAGGTGCCCCTGTAGCCATGTATTTTAATGGCCCCCTAAATATGAGTATCGAAGGTATAAAAACCTTCAAAAGGAAGCCACTAATGGGAAGGCAGTGGAAGACATGGTTGTTGAAAAGACAAACATGTCACCAAATCTCTTGTAAGTAGAAATTAGTTGAGGAGTGTTGTGGTAGAGAATGAACTAGAGTAGGGACAGCAAGCCTTCATGCCAGCCTTTGCCGGGAGGCTTTGGACTCAGAGTTGATGGGTGGGATGGAGGATAGAGGAGTAAGAGTGGACATGGAGAGTGGTGACCCTGATGGTTCTCTAGTGGAAGGCGCAGTGATTGGTCAGAGCATTGGTAACGTGGGAAGAGGGATAGGAGTCCATCAGGGATGGGATGTGTGAATTCAGGGAAGTCTATAGAGGCTGCACCAAGACCCTCTAGAAAAACAGACAAAGTAAGGAGACTGTTACAGACATGACGTCAGCCAAGGGCACCTTGGAGTTGGGCTGAAGGGAGCTGAGGGGCTGCAAGGCTTTAGTGCACCTGCCGTCTCGTTGCCTCCGTTAGGGGCGCTCCCTTCCCACATGATACACTGATAGTAAGAGATGCACCGTGTGTCTGAGAGTAGTCATTCATTAGCCGCAAAGCAGCTGTGGAACTGGCTCCTACAGTTGGGGTGAGTCTGTGGAGGACTTGGGGAAGAGTGGTGTCACAGGCAACGATAAACATTTTTGTTTATATAGAAAAGAGCTAAATTGAACCTGTGTTCCATGAGCTTCTAGGTTTGCTGCATGTGTGTTGTTTCTCTTTTCCTGGTGCGGGGCAGTGCAGATCGTAAATATGGATTGGCTTCTCCACTGTTGGGCACACTTGCCTGGGAGGAACTGTGGCCCCAGAAATGGCAGGAGGTTATCTTCCTAGTGCACTGTCTGGTTGACTTACCGTTGTGCTGGTGATGACACCTGGAAGCTTCGGTTGTTCTTGGCTTTTCCTGCTGCTCACAAAGGTTGAGCCTACCCAGGATGGGTGGTGGGAGAAAAACAAGGAGTCACCCGACTTCTAAAGAAAGTTAGCACACTTGTTTAGGGAGAGCTAAGGGTTTGGGGTGACTAGTGGTATCTATACAAGGAAAGCCTTCCTTATTCTGGCTTTGGGGCAGGGGAGGGGCTGTTCTAACATGCAGCTGACTATCCACATAACTCCTCTGTGTAGACAGAGCCCTGCTCAGCAGTCAGTGATATGTCTGCTCAGGGAGATGCCAGGGCAGAAAAGCAGTCTCCTTACATAATACACACCAAATGCCAAGTCCTTCATCCTAAAATAAGAACAGACTCCTAGGTGTGAACAAACGACAAGGACCATTGGGTATAATGGGGAAAAATGCAGTAAAGTAGGGAGACCTACATAAGCACAGAAACTCACTTCAAAGAAAACAGATACTGTGGAGAACTGAGAATATAGAGAATAAAATACCATAAAAAAGTACAGTCAAGAGCAAGATTAGAAGTGATGACCAGAAGTTAGAGAAGATTCAGCAGAAGGGCTAAAAGACAAATGGGTCAATTCTGCTAGAGCATAAGGAGACAGACATTTGGGAATGAAGAGAAGGTAATGGATGGGAGACCTGTCCAGGAAGTCCAGCCTCAGACTGTCAGATTGTCTTAAAAAGAAAGCTTAGAGAAAATGGGAAGGAAGACATTGGCTGGAGGGCAATGGTTGAAGGACATTTCCAGGTCTCTGAAGACCTTGACTGCTAGGACCTGCAGACTGCCTGGTGTCGTGAATGAAAAAGACCCACACCCAGATATACCCACATGAAGTATCAGTAGACCACCAGTGATGAGACAAGCCCATCACCTGCAAATAAGTCGTGAGCTGAGCCTCCAGAGGGCTTTATCCTCAGCGTAGGGTGAACTTGAAACCAACCAGCCCTCAATCCTCTCTGGAGGAGGGCTCTTTACTCCTAAACATTTTTCAAGGATAGTGTCCAGGACACAAAGAAAAGCAGACAGTGCCTGGGAACCAGCAGAAGTAGCAAATAGTACTAGAGAGCACAGATATGAGAGTTATCAGATAAGGCCTATAAAACCATGGTGGCTCTTAGGCTTAAAGAGATAAAAGGCTCCAACATGTCTTCAGGGAACTAATATAGCAGCCTGAAAAAATAACAGCAGCCTGAATTCAGAGTTCCCTGGATGGGCTTAACTAAACATTGGACGTAGCAGCGGGGCGAGCTGGCGAACTGAAAAATAGGTCAGAAGCAAGGGTCCATAGGATGGCGTGGAACATTCCACGGTTGCAGGATCAGTAGCTCACAGAAGCGACGGAGGGATGTATTTCATCAGGAGTAGTTACGGCGGCGGGGAGCCTTCCCCAAGTGAAGACAGTCAGTGGTACGTGAGTTGGGCTAGCCCCGTGAGCGCCCCGTGAGCACCCCGTGATCACCCCGTGAGCTAAAATTTCCTTCTGGACAAAATGCCTTTCGGGAATGAGGTCAAAATTGGCATATTTTCAAGCCCAAACTGAGTGTCACCACCAGCAGACCTACGTTAAAGGCAGTTCTCATCAGGAAGAGGAATGTAATTTAGTGTTGGATGCACAGGAGGCGAGGAAAACTAGAGTAAAAAAGACACAGTAAATATAAATGTAAGTGAACATTGATTCCATGAAACAATAATAACATCTTTGGCAATTTAAAAATGCGTGGAATTCGGGGGCGCCTGGTTGGCTCAGTGGGTTAAAGCCTCTGCCTTCGGCTCAGGCCATGATCCCAGGGTCCTGGAATCGAATCCCACATCGAGCTCTCTGCTCGGTGAGGAGCCTGCTTCCTCCTCTCTCTCTCTGCCTGCTTCTCTGCCTACTTGTGTGATCTCTGTCTGTCAAATAAATAAATCTAAAAAAAAAAAAGTATGGAATTCAAATGCATAATAATAATAGCATATAATCAGGAAAGGGGTCAATGGAGTTGTCTTCTAAAGTCTAAATCATTCTGGAGAGGAGAAAGGTGTTGATTTACTTTATGGTTTGAAAATACACATGATGAAATTTGTGGGAAGAAAATGTAACTTTTAAACTAGTATAGTGAAAGAATGATTTTTTAAAAAAAATATGAATGAGGGCAAGAAAAGATAGGACAAGTGGTAAAATCGAAAATGCAAAATGGAAAGATTTAAAAGCAAATATATCGGGAGTGAGTAACACTAAAGAGGCTAGACGTTAAACTAGCGTACATGAAGCAGAGCTCTGGGGTGTTGGTGAACCCCAGTAAGGCCACGCGGGAAAGTGAGATAGAGAAGTCGGTATCCCACAGGCACCTGGAGGGGCCACATGGCGATGTCAGGGCAGGGTGTCTGGGGCACATGAGGGTCAAGGGAGCCGGGTTTTAGCAAGCTTCAGGGGCTCTTACCCCTGGGGCACCTTGGAGGTGGGGAAGAATGCTCACCGCATGGAGGAGTCCTACCAGGAATTTACGTTTACCCGTGACCTTCTGGGTTGTGACTGCACTGCTGTGTGCCGGCGGGGGGGCTCGCGTCAGCTCAAGGCCTCATGCAGGCTGCACCCTGTGGGTTCCGAGGCACAGTACAGTGGAGTATGTAGTTCAGCTCTCCATGGCAAGTCTGTGTTGCCTTTCAGCTGTGCATCTCCGCCAGAAAGACACAGGCAGGTCCAAGGTGAAAGGGCAGAATGAGCCACACCACTCAGGTACAAACCAAAAGAGAGGTGGTAATGTTCCGTCAGTACCTGGCAAGACAAATGACAAGAAAAGGCTCAGTCTACCAAGTAGATGTTTAAATGTGTGTGCACCGGAAGTAAGTTCCTAGCGATACATTTGAAAATTCAGGCGAAATAGTGGCATTCCTGGAAAAACATAACTTCCCAAAACTGATTCAAAAAGAATACCTGAATATTCCTTTTTTTTTTTTTTTTTAAAGATTTATTTATTTATTTATTTGAGAGAGATAATGAGAGAAAGAGAACATGAGAGGGAAGAGGGTCAGAGGGAGAAGCAGACTACCCAGTGAGCCGGGAGCCCGATGTGGATCTCGATGCTAGGACTCCAGGATCATGACCTGAGCTGAAGGCAGTTGCTTAACCAACTGAGCCACCCAGGCACCCCTGGATATTCCTTTAATCATCAAAGAAATAGAATCCAAAGACCATTCCTTAAGAAAACTATAAGCCTAGAGACCTTCACCAGAGTGTTCTAAAAATACTCAAGGAGGAAGTCATTCCAGTCTTATAGAAACTCTTCTGAAGAACAGGAGTTAATGCCATCTAACCTGTTTTATGAGATCGATGTCACCTTGATATCAAAACCCAACAAATATAAGAAAAGGAAATTACTTTTTATTTTCACCCATGAATCTAGATGTAAAAACTTTTTTTTAAAAGATTCTTATTTGGGGCTCCTGGGTGGCTCAGTGGGTTGGGCCTCTGCCTCCGGCTCAGGTCATGATCTCAGGGTCCTGGGATCGAGCCCCACGTCGGGCTCTCTGCTCAGCAGGGAGTCTGCTTCTTCCTCTCTCTGCCTGCCTCTCTGCCTACTTGTGATCTGTCAAATAAATAAATAAAATCTTAAAAAAAAAAAAAAGATTCTTATTTATTTGAGAAAACAGAGCACAAGCCAGGGAGAGAGGCAGAGGGAGAAGCAGACTCCCCGCTGAGTAGGGAACTCACCAGGGGGCTCGATCTGAAGACCCCAGGATCACGACCTGAGCAGAAGGCAGATGCTTAACTGACCAAGCCACCCCAGGGCCCCTAGATGTAAAAACTCTTATTAAAGTATTTATCCCAAAAAGTTTTGTTTCTTCACCTGTACGGTAATTATATGAGGGTTTGTTATAATTATGTATTAAAATATGCATTTGTTTTTCATATACTTTTCTATATGTGTATTTATCTTTTATATACTTCTCTATATGTGTATTTCACAATTAAAACATTTTAAATCCTTTTTACCAGAAGAATTAAAATCAAAAGTGATCGGTAGAGGTTTCCTCTGGGGAACCTGAGGGGAAAATATTTTATATAAAAATTTTTTTTTTAAGTAACTGTTTTAGGGCTTCAGACTGGCTCAGTCAGTGAAGCATGTGACTCTGGATTTCAGGGTTGTGGGTTTGAGCCCCATGTTGGGTGTAGAGATGAGTTAAAAATAAATATATTTAATAAAAATAAGCAAGCAACTATTTCTCCTACCAGCTATGAACTGTCAGCTTTTTTTTTTTTTTAACAAATTGCTTTTACCTCTTGTTTTGCTTAAGAAATATATTGTTAGAAATACACCCGAAGTCCTTTGTAGCCACTCTCCTTAGTCCAGTATTTATCCCTGGCTTTCGAAAAGGAATCACTATCATAAACTTGGAATTACACTTCCAGTCTGTTTTTTATTCTTACATATGTTTCCATAAATGACCCATGGCATTTTTTTGGTATGTCTTAAGTGTATATGAATGAATTCATGCTTTTAGTATATTGATCTTTACACTCAATTTTCCAAACATCTCTCTATGTTGAAATAACTATTAGAGCTGATTCTTTTACCTTCTGCCTGGTGGTATTCCATCGTATGAAATACTACATTTCACTTATTTTAGTGGAAGTTTAAATTGTTAATAAGTTTGCTCCATTCGGTAGTGCCACAGTGAGATTTCAAGTATGTGTTGTCATAGTTTCACTACGTATGTATTTAGAGGTGGCACTGTTGGGTCATGGGGGAAGTGCGTTTTCTAGAACTTGATGTATTGCTCTCTGAGGTGACTGGCCCACCAGTACTTTCCCAACATTCTCTATAGCCCCTAGTTGTTTTTCATTGGGAATTTTTCTTTAGGGATTGATTTAAATACATTACTTTGGCTGTAAAGAAAATTCCAAAACCAAAACAGAAGACAGTGAAGAAAAAAGATAAAAACCTCAGTTTCATGGTTTTTATCTAGGTGTGTCCTCCACTCTTTGACTAATTAAAACTAGTAAACTAGAAAGTAATGGAAAACTATCTGGAAAATCCCTGCTGGGTGTTCAGGAAGTCCCCCCACAAGCTGAAGCCACTGAACTGAACGGGTCGGTCCTGATGATTACATGAGAACTGACCGAGAGAACCAATGAAGAAATAACTCTTTTCTCTAGCCTCATCTTGGCAGAAGTGTATGTTGAAATTGTATGCCTGCCTTGTTCTTTTGTTGCTTTTATCATGAAAACGTAGAATTACTTTAGTATGACCCAAAATTTGTTTTAGCATTAGGATTTGGGGGAGGCAGTTATACCTATGTCAAAAATGAAGCGGTCTTAAATTCTTTCTGGAAGGAGTATAGGGTACACATAAGTGTATCTGTACAAAGGCATAAGCAACAGTTATTGGCAGGAAAAGCATTAGATCATCACCATCAAAAAACCGTGTGGCCAGCCCCTAGCAGTTCCATCCCGGGCCCTCCGGGAGGGGATGGGCAGCGTTTGCATGGGGGCCTTCCCCGGACCCCCATGGGCTGGCGGGCTGGGCTGCCCCTCACTTGCCTGGCAGTGGCTGCCTCCTGTTAGCTTCAGTGTGCCAGGTCCACGCCTGTGATGTTTTTGTCCCCCAGCCAGTTGGAGAAGGAAGAGGAGAAAGAAGGTGCCGAGATGGAAGAGTTGGTGGGAAAGTTGGCGCTGCTGCAAGCGCAGAAACAGAGCCTGCTCTTAGAGAAGAACAGTCTGGTTGCGAGAAACCAAGCACTGGGAGAAGAACTCGACAGGGCACAGAAAATAAATAGGTTTTTATCTATTTTTTTCTTAAGCGGGTTTGTTTTGTTGTGTGTATTTGTTTTTTAGTATTAAAAAGAGAAAATTAAATATTCTCTTTTATTTTCTTTGTCTTTTTCTAATATTGGCTATAAAGTGGAAAAGGATCATTGAGATTACTGGGTATCAAAAGGAAACTATAGTAAAGGCTGTTCTGTTGGCCAGTGTCAGCCAACATTTCTCAGGTCTCTTGATCGATTATAGTTGATGGTCCTAATGATGACCCTAAGACTCTGAAAGTCGTAGAAGTTCTTTCCTACACATTTCTCAAAAGTCAGCTTTGGGTCACTGGATTCCATTTTCAAAAGCATCTTTTAGAACATGATCCAAAAAAATGAATGGAATAATACATACAAAGTAGCCCATTGACAGTGTTAAGTGTTTTGTGATACCTGTTGACTTGATTTGGAGTCAATAACTGTGCTTCACTTAAAATTAAACTCCCTAACCTCTTTTCAACCTGAAACTTAATAGAATTAAGCTGCTGAAGAATACATTTAAATGCTAACATACTTGCTGTTTTTACAGTGCAGATATTCACTATGTCCTAGCCATTCAGGCTAATGAGTTTTTTATTCCACCATTTGGGGGAACTCTCTAGGAGGTCTCAAAAGAAAATTGATGTCCTCAAAAAGCAGGTGGAAAAAGCCATGGAGAATGAAATGTCTGCTCACCAGTACCTGGCAAATCTTGTCGGCCTGGCAGAGAACGTAACCCAGGAACGCGACAATCTTATGTATTTGGTAAGCTCCCTCACTTCCTTCAAGTACACTGAAAGTCAACATGCAAATGTGATTTTAAGAGCGTTTTCTTGGGGTGCCTGGGTGGTTCAGTCAGTTGAACACCTGACTGGATTTCAGCTCAGGTCTTGATCTCAGGGTCCTGGGATCGAGCCCCGTGTCAGGCTCCACGCTCAGTAGGGAGTCTGCCTGAGATGCACTCTCTCCTCCCCTCCACCCACTTTCTCTCCCCCTTTCTCCCTCAAATATTTTTTTAAAAAAGCATTTTCAATACAAAATTATCCACAAAAGCCTTCGTCTTTTTAAATTTTAACTGCACATTTTCAGATTCTCCAAAATTTAGCTTTCAACCATGGGGGAAAAACATTTTCAAAAGGTGAATAACCCAGACTTTTAAATAATGGTAAATGGTATTTTCAGAGGTGAACTGATGGAATTAGTCCATTTAACCAACTAGAGCAGGAGCCACCAGGTGTTCATTACACACGCGTCTCCGTGTTCTCTCCCCAAAGCTGACTTAATGTATTCCCTGGGTGAAGGTGAAACAGAACCATAGGCATGTTAAGTAGAGTTCACCCCAAGTTGCTTCTGGCTGCTCTAGTCCCAAGGACGGAACTGAGGGGATGATTGCTGGTCCTAGATGACGGAGCTCTGCCCGGCTGGCAGGAGCGATGCCACCACCATGATGTTTGAAATTTCCAGATTTTATTTTTTTAAACAGTTTAATTCTCAAAATTTCTCTCTTTTTTATGATTTCATTTATTAGAGAGAGAGCATGAGCAGGGGGAGGGGCAAAGGGAGAAGCAGACTCCCCACTGAGCAGAGAGCAGGACGTGCAGCTGGATCCCAGGATCCTGAGATCATGACCTGAGCTGAAGGCAAATACTTAAGCGACTGAGCCATCTAGTCACCCCTTCCACACTGATTTTAAAAGGTGTCAGCCATTGGGGCGCCTGGGTGGCTCAGTGGGTTAAGCCTCTGCCTTCAGCTCAGGTCATGATCCCAGGGTCCTGGGATCGAGCCCCGAATCAGGCTCTCTGCTCAGCAGGGAGCCTGCTTCCTCCTCTCTCTCTGCCTGCTTCTCTGCCTACTTGTGATCTCTGTCTGTCAAATAAATAAATAAAATCTTAAAAAAAAAAAAAAAAAAGGTGTCAGCCATAGGGCCATGCAGTGAAAGAAGACCGACACTGCCAAGCTAGACACAGTGAAAAAGCCCGATAGAATTTACTACAGACTAGGACTTACCCAACGGTATCTCCAAATGGTGAAATGACAGGCAAAGAAAAAGAAATCTTGCTTACTTGCACTTGATGATTTTTCAACTTTGAGCACATGTTGCTTACATACATTTAAACGTTTGTTTAAGCAATGTTGAGGATCTCTGGTATCCTAGCATTAGAAGCAATAGTTGAGTGGGTGTCATGACAGAGGAGACCAGAGGACTTCCTGAGGCAGTTGGAAATTGGCTTGGAATCACTCAGCCCCTCCTGCAAGTGAATGGTCTGGGGAGTCTGGTAGGGCATGGCGCGGGCTTATTCACGTCTGCTAGGAAGACATCAGCTCCTCCATAGGGAAGTGGATGCAGGCTTTTAGCTATTGTTTATATAAGAGGAAATATAAATAGCACACAGCTCTTGGGGGAAAATGTGATCCTCACTTGTAATAAAAGATGCTAATTAAGCCACTCTTGAGGTACCATTCTGTACTTGCAAGGTCACCAAAAAAAAAAATTTCTTTTTAAATTATAATAGTTTTTGCTAGGAGTGTGGTTACATGTTAATGGTGATCTCTGAGTCCTTTCAGGGTCTTTTATTTATTTTTTTAAAAAGTTTTCATTTATTTATTTATTTGACACAGAGAGATCTCACAAGCAGGCAGAGAGGCAGGCAGAGAGAGAGGGGGGAAGCAGGCTCCCCACTGAGCAGAGAGCCTGATGCAGGGCTTGATCCCAGGACCCTGAGACCATGACCTGAGCTGAAGGCAGAGGCTTAACCCATTTAACCACCCAGGTGCCCCCTTTCTGGGTCTTTTAGAAGCAGTGTAATTCAGACACAGCATGCTAGGAGCTGAAGCACACACTCCCCCTACCGTAGCAGCCCCCCTCCTGAAATATCACCACCCTGACCCGTGCTGGACTCGGGCATTTTCTGTAGCAGTGCTGAGCGCCCTTTTCCTTTTCTGCTGTGCCTCCTGGGCTTATCTCCCTGGAATGGCAAGAGTGCAAAAAAGAAGCTTGCTGGAGAATTGACCTCCCATGTGGGCCAGTGATCTCCCAAGTTTCCATGATGAAGTTGAGATCCTCCCCAGCCCTCACACGGTCTCTCTTAGGCCCACCCCTCATATCTGTGGGCCCAGGATGGGAATATAAATGGGAGCCATATACTGTTTGTGCGAATATTTAGAAATTAAGCCAACAATCTGTTAATGAACTGTGTTCTCTCTTCCTGCTTGACCTTCATTATTATGGCCTGAAAGCAAGGCTTAGGTTTAGAACCCTTTAAGCCCCTCAGATTTGGGGGAGTTGCTTTCATCCCACCCTATCTCCGCCCACCACAAGGGACTTCTGTGTATTTACAGACACTGCTGTCCCCTTGCCCCTGCAAACTCCTTGCACCCTGGAGCCCCAAGGTCAGCCCCTCTACTTGGGGTCCCGGGGTGGTACTGGCTGCCTCTGCCCTGCATGGGACTGTGGGTCAAGCATCCCAACCTTACTTACCCTGTCATGGTCTCCTAGACCTTAATTTATTGAAAGTGGCATCTTAATTACTACTTCTTTCTTTCTCTCTGTCTTTTTTTTTTTTTTTTTTTTTAAGATTTTATGTATTTATTTGTCAGAGAGAGAGAGAGCACAAGCTGGGGGAGCGGCAGGCAGAGGGAGAAGCAGGCTTCCAGCTGAGCAAGGAGCCCAATGCAGGACTCTATCCCAGGACCATGGGATTATGACCTGAGCCGAAGGCAGATGCTTAACCGACTGAGCCATCCAGGCATCCTGAAAGTGCCATCTTAATTTCTAATCCCACCTTTAGGATGGGTTTTCCATGTGACTTACGGCAAGTTATTTAACTTTCTGTGTCTTATTTTTTCCTTTCTGAAGGAAATCAAATGAAATCAAATTGTCATCCTGGCCTGCCTTAGAAGGAATGCTCACTTTTGCTTTTTTAATTTTAGCATTTGAAATAATTTACAGTGTGTAGCAATTCATGTCCCATCTGATATTCATCTAAATCATTCAGCTTCAAGGGACATTCCTCTTGGCTGTGGTGCCATCACATTTGGCTTGGTGAATGGCGTTGTGTATTCACGTTATCCTTAATTTTGTAATTATTCAGGTAGTCAAGCTAAAAGTTTATTTGCATCTTGGCACTTATTCCTTGGATACGATTGAAGGAATGCTGTATTCCACAAGCACAGAGAAGTGTGCTGGAAGCCCTTACAGCACATCCCCCTTGTTCTGGGGGGCTCAGTCTTCTCTTGGTTCCCAGGTGGGGCCCCCAACCTGCTCCTCTGGGTTCTTGCCCCACCTCAGCTATTGGCCCAAGTTCTGTCCACATCTCTCACACAGGGAGTGGGGGGCAGGCGGGGTGGTGGGCCGGGACAAGTGGCAGAATAGAGATTACTTGTGAGGAAAATGATCTTTGCAGAAAAATTATTGTTTTAACTTCTCTGTTAAACTAAGAAGAGCCCATTCTTTTTCTTTTCATTTTTCTCCTTAGGCTAAATGTTTACAAAGTGAGAAGCATGGCGTTCTCAACAAAATCATAGAAGGCAATATTCGCTTGGGAAGGTTAGAAGAAAAAGTCAAGGTAAGTGGCCATTAGCCTCAAAGGTGCCATTTTCAAACGGAAACAGCAGCTCCCTGGGGTCAGACTTACATGTTTAAAAAAATGAGTCATGTCGCATGTATGTATCACGCTTATCATGCACAGGGTCAAACAGTATTGCATATAGACCAGTCCACTCATTAATAGACTGGCTTATCTGTACAATAAGATACCATGCCGCTGTTTAAAAGAAGAAAAATGCTATGGAAAAATCTCCAGGCTCTATCCTGACGTTAATGTGCAGGCTTTACGCTCAAGCCCAGGATTTGTCGGTTCAGATGGGAGCAAGGTTGACCCTCTTCTCTGTAGCTTAACCCTAATTGCACCCTCCAGTTTCTCTGCCCAAGAAAACTATTGTCGGGGTACTAGCTCTCCTCCCCTAGGCAGCCTCCCTCACCTGAGCTCTTACGTCCCCACCAGCTATGTTCTGACTGCCGGCCTCCACCTCTGCCTCCACTGCCTTCCCACCCAGACTGACTTCTCTGGAGTAAGAGCAGGGGTGCGGGCAGGCTAGAGACCTGGGTGGGAAGGAGAAGGTCTGTGAGGGCATTTAGCTCTGGCGTGGGGAATGAGATTTGGACCTCTGTCGGATAATGAAGAAAAAGGCCTGACACATGAAGAAATAGATTGATGACATTTACTATGTTGGGAAATTAACTAAGACAAAACATTGGCTGGCTCTGTGTACAGCCAGGTGTATATACATATGTATGTAAATATGTTATGACTTTGTTTTGTTCTAGGGAACATAAGTCCTAAATTATTTATTTTTTAAAACTTATTAACTTCTTTAACTTTAAAAGTTAAAATAACTTTAAAATAACTTTAAAAGTTATTAACTTTGCTCAGCCCTAATGCAAAGAACAGACTTTTTTTCTTGGTGTTTAATGAATATTAAATAACATGAACATCAAGGTTTTGGAAGCCACACAGCCTGTTCTTCATGATTTTCAAGTGGTACAGAGTTGCTCCCTGAGGGCCTTTCTGGTTTCCAGTAGGATCTGACACATACAACATCCCTTAGATACCCTTACCCTGTTCTGGATTCTGCCTGGGTCTGGGCTGTCCCCAGGGAAGATCACTTCCATCTAACAAAATTCAGAGACTAACCTACCCTCCAGCACATCACTGTTCTCTTTGATAATGGGCAGTGGCCTTTGAGGTGAGGAGTGTTCCCACCACACATCAGGGAACTCATTCCTTCTATGGGCCAGAGCAGCTCCACTCCTGTTCCCACATGTGGGCTTTTAGGCATGATGCTATTTGAAGAAAGAGTTGCTTTGCTAAAAGGAAAGTTGAAAATGCTACATTTGTCCTCTACCCAGAACTCAGGGCAATTGATCCTGTGGCATCGGGTGGTAGGAATGACTTAATTTAACCAGATAGCTTTGGGAGTTGTGTTGACTTCTAAAATGTCATCTGAGATTCCTAGCAGAAATCATAGTTTTCTGGGAATTTTATTTCTGACGCAGTTTTGAAGTCAGTGAGCATATGGTAAGTTTAATCTTCAAGTACACTTAGTTGTTACTAACTAGTTGTTACTAACCTAGTCTAACTAGGTAGGATAAAGAAAAATCCATATCTAGACAGGGGTGCCCGGGTGGCTTGGTCATTGTAAGCGTCCAGCTCTTGGTTTCAGCTCAGGTTGTGATCCTGGCATCGTGGGATCAAGCCCCGCATCAGGCTTCTCGCTTAGTGCAGAGTTGCTTGTCCCTCCTCCTCTGCTCCCCCAGCTTTCTCTCTCTTTCTCAAATAAATAAGTAAAATCTTTAAAAAAAAAAAAAAAAAAAGAAAACCTTGGACACCCAGGCAAAAGGCCAAAACATAAGAAAAAGAAAACTGTGTTGGCCTCACACTTCTCCACAGCAATACTGAATACCAGAGAGCAGTGCAATGCCTTTTATAAATATTCGAGGAGACAGAGTATGAGCCAAGTATGTTTCCATCCAACCAAGCTACTCTTCCAGCAGTTTTGACCATGTAAGAACTCCAGGCACAGTTTTCCTGTACATCTCACCTGAAGATTAATCAACTTGAGTTCAGCCAATCAAGAAACAACTGGGCAAGTTCCAGAAGAGTAGTGAGCAAAGGATAAATTTAACTGGGAGCTATGACTTCAGTGAAGCAGGGATAAGGCTGATGGAGTAAAATGCAAATGTTTTTTGACAATGTTGAATTAATACAACCAAGGGAAAACTGATAGGTCAAGGAGGTAGCGAAGTAGAAAGTAGAACTAGCTGATTGCATTATAGTCATAACTCAGAGTTCAAAGGATATCATTTCAAGCTGAAAAATCAGTAGGAGGAGCTTAAACATATTTAAGTAGGGCAAGAAAAGGTTGTGAGCTAACATTATGTTACTTTTGCTAAATGAAAGGACTAAGGACATGTAATGTAAAGGCATGAGAATAAAAGTCACCGCAAGAATAGAGAGAGATCCGTTCCCAAATAGAATTACAACAGCGAAAAGAACAGAGAAAACGGACTATATTCAAGTCTTTGAAAATGTAGGTAGATAAAATAACAAAATTGAGGCCCAACAAATACAAATGAGCTAATTCACCCATGAAAAGAAAACCGATTGATAATGAAGCAAATGATATTCCATGCTGGAGCCCAGGGACAGTCTGAAACCAAGTGCATCCGAAAGCTGAAGAGTAAAAGGATGAGTAAAGATAATCCAGATGTATGCAAACAGAAAGAAAGAAAGCAAAGTTGCATTCTTTACATGTGCTGAGATAGAGTTCAGGCCAAAAGGCCTAAATGAAACACACTAAAGAAATGCTAAAAACTGCAATTAATGGCGTATAGTAGCTGTGAATATTTATGCACTAAATAAACAGAAAATCTGTGTAACACAGCAAAATAGGGAAATGGAAGCATAGTAATAATCGGAGCTTTAGGGTTGCCTGGGTGGCTCAGTGGGTTAAAGCCTCTGCCTTTTGCTCGGGCCATGATTCCAGAGTCCTGGGATGGAGCCCCACATCCCCACATCTGGCTCTCTGCTCAGCAGGGAGCCTGCTTTCCGCTCTCTCTCTGCCTGCCTCTCTACCTACTTGTGATCTCTGTCAAATAAAATCTTAAAAAAAATTTTTTTTTAAATAATAGGAGCTTTAATCTTCTCTTGGTCCAAGACAGATCAAGAGATGAAACAAAAGTAACTAAGGATATGGAAGATTTAACAAAATCTGTAAGGTTTATTGGTCTGTGTGTGTTTGTGTATAACTGACTGACTGTAGATTGGCTCAAAAAGTAACCTCTAGAGTAGACATAAGGCACATTTGTTGATCAAAAAGCTAAAATCCAGGGGCCCCTGGGTGGCTCAGTGGGTTAAAGCCTCTGCTTTCGGCTCGGGTCATGATCCCAGGGTCCTGGGATCGAGCCCCGCATCGGGCTCTCTGTTCAGCGGGGAGCCTGCTTTCCTTCCTCTCTCTCTCTGCCTACCTGTGATCTCTGTCAAATAAAAAATAAATAAATAAATAAAAATAAAAATAAAAGCTAAAATCCAGAAATTAATAAACAATCAGAAAGCAAAAAAATACTCTTTTAGCTGGAAATGTAAAAACCATGAAGTAAACCAGTTGTTGGATCGGAGGGAATGTATAAACTGTCAGTTTCTAAATAGAATTGATACACTAGTTAGAATGGCAAAAATTAAGACAAGAAACAACAAATATTGGCAAGGATATGGAGAAAGGAGAACCCTCTTACACTGTTGGTGGGAATGCAAGCTGGTACAGCCACTCTGGAAAACAGTATGGAGGTTCCTCAAGACATTAAAAATAGAGCTATCCTATGACCCTGCAATTGCACTACTGGCTTTTACCCCAAAGATACAGATGTAGTGAAAAGGGGCACATGCACCCCAGTGTTCATAGCAGCAATGTCCACAATAGCCAAACTGTGGAAGGAGCCGAGATGCCCTTCAACAGACGAATGGATAAAGAAGATATGGTCCATATATACAATGGAATATTACTCAGCCATCAGAAAGGATGAATACCCAACTTTTGCATCAACATGGCTGGGACTGGAGGGGCTTACGCTAAGTGAAATAAGTCAGCCAGAGAAAGGCAATCATCATATGGTCTCACTCATACGTAGAAAATAAGGAATAGGGGTGCCTGGGTGGCTCAGTGGGTTAAGCCGCTGCCTTCGGCTCAGGTCATGATCTCAGGGTCCTGGGATCGAGTCCCGCATCGGGCTCTCTGCTCAGCAGGGAGCCTGCTTCCCTCTTTCTCTCTCTGCCTGCCTCTCTGTCTACTTGTGATCTCTGTCAAATAAATAAATAAAATCTTTAAAAAAAAAAAAAAAGAAAATAAGGAATAGTGTGGAGGACCATAGGGGAAGGGAGGGAAAACTGAATGGGAAGACAAACCATGAGAGACTGGACTTCTAAATGGAATTGGATCTATGTCAAGTACAAATTAGAATCTCTGTAACCCCACTTTTAGAAATGCTCAGAAGGAAGTCGTACCTTAAATACTACCCAGAAAAAAAATGGAGAAGGAAAATAAATGAATCAGGCTTTTATCTCTGTCAACTGTTTACCAATAGAGTGTGACAGACCCCGCCAGCTTGGTCTGTTTTGAGTTGTAGCATATAAAAAACTAGGTCTGATAAAAATGAGAAATTTGGTTTCCATATACTTGGTATTTTGTTTTTACTCTCTGTGACTTTTATGATTTTATGAGCCAGACTTGCCCTCCCAGATCAGACTTATGCAAGGTTTACTCATCATCTCAGTGGGCTCTGATAGCCCAGACAGGGAGGGTGGGGGAGGGTACACATCCGGGAAGCCACCCCTGGGCAACAGGCAGCATCCCCTCACTCACACGGGGCCTCCTCCCTCTCCCAGGGCTATAAGAAGCAGGCGGCACTGAAAGTAGATGACATCAGTCACCGCCTGACGGAGCAGCAGGAAGACTTCACCAGCAGGACAGCTCAGTACCAGCAAGAGATGAGGCGCCTGCATCAGATGCTGCAGGACAAGCAGGATATCCTGGACCAGGCCCTGCAGCAGAAACGGTAGGGCCTCCCCAGCCCCACAAAGGAGGTCTGGTTGCGGATGTTGGCCAGAATTTTCTAGTAAATCCCCCTGGACCCGTTCTGTTTATCTTTTACATTTAAGTTTTATCTGAATGTAATATTGGTCTTGATTCTTATTTGCTCATTTTCTCTTTAAATGTTTTCCCCTGGGCTCCTGGGTGGCTCAGTGGGTTAAGCCGCTGCCTTCGGCTCGGGTCATGATCTCAGGGTCCTGGGATCGAGTCCCGCATTGGGCTCTCTACTCGGCAGGGAGCCTGCTTCCCTCTCTCTTTCTCTGCCTGCCTGTCTACTTGTGATCTCTCTCTGTCAAATAAATAAATAAAATCTTAAAAAAAAAAATGTTTTCCCCCAGCAATTGACATACAGGATTGTGTAAGTTTAAGGTGTATAATGTGATGGTTTGATTTCATGTATATCCTGTGAAATGATTGCCACCACAAGGCTAGTCAACACCGCCCTTGTCTCGCCTAATTCGCATTTTGTTATGGGCGGGAATGGGCTCCCAGCAGCTTTCAGGTATACAACACGTGCTGTGCTCCTCATTTTCCTAATCGCCCCTGGAGAGCTCCCCATTGTTTGAATATTGGACTTCTTAAATCAGTCCAGGCCTCTAATTGTCCTTCCCTCTTTTCTCCTCTCTTTGATGCTTTTGTTTTTCTTGGGATTTTTAAAATTTTTTATCAAGTGTCTTATTTCTGATTTTTCTTTTTTTTTTCATTTCTGAAGATTTTAAAATCTCTGATCATTCCCTTCTTGTAAGATCATGATCATGAGATGATGGCCACATGATGTTCTCTGTGCATGCAAGGTACTAAATCAGTTACCCTTTACCTTTTAAATGTGGACCCTTTAAACATGGGCTAGAGGAAGTGTTGCCAATGTATGAAAAACAGTGGGGAATGTTGTGTGCTCCGTGAAGGTGAACTTGCTGGTCCTTTGTGCTTAACTCTACATTTTCACACTGGCCATGCTGTCTTTGCCAGACTGGAACATGAACTGGTGGGCGCAGAAGAATAATAATGCATGCGTGGGATTTCTTCGGGTTGTAGGACGGTCCGGGTGTTTGATGTCATGCAGAATGCAGATAGCTGTTTTCCACCAGCCAGACGCTTCATAAATGCAAGGCAGGATGAACTCTTACCTGCCATGCCTATCAGGGCTTCTGGAGTCACAGAAGTTCTTACCGCCATACACAGCTGTTTTGTGAAAAGTTGAGCCAATACCAGATCTCTTGCTAGATAGTTGGTTTAGAATCGCAGTAATAAAATGACATTTTGTTTTTCACTTTTTCCCCTTATTCCACTGTCTGTCCTTAGATCATTGAAAGTTATGCATTCTATTTCTGTACTTTCAGTGGCTACCCTTAAAATTTTACCATGGATATTTAACATTAAAAATCTTAATTTAGGGGTGCCTGGGTGGCTCAGTTGGTTAAGTGACCAACTCTTGATTTCAGCTCAGATTTCGATCTCAGGGTTGTGAGTTCAAGCCCTACGTTGGGCTTAAAAAAAAAAAAAATCTTACTTAAATTTAGACATGTCTACATTTCTTCCCCCCAGTGCAATATCTAATGCTCTTATCTAATTCTTTCCCCCCTCAGTTTATATGATGTCATCTAGTATCATTCTGTAGATAAAAGTGAAGACCAAAGATCTATTTTATATCATCTTTAGCCGCCCCCAATTAAATGTTACTAGTTTCTATATAATTCTTTATTTTGATTTACCCACAGGTACCAATTTCTTTACTTACTGATTATTATAAACAAGACAACAGACCCCAAATGAGTCTCACATACGCTGGGCCCACACATCACCAAACCAAGACTTGACTTAATTAGTTGGCTCTTCCAGAAAGGGAATCTTAAACTGGTTAGTCAAGAATTGTGTAGTCGGGGTGCCTGGGTGGCTCAGTGGGTTAAAGCCTCTGCCTTAGGCTCAGGTCATGATCCCAGGGTCCTGGGATCGAGCCCCACATCGGGCTCTCTGCTCAGCAGGGAGCCTGTTTCCCTTCCTCTCTCTGCCTGCCTCTCTGCCTACTTGTGATCTCTGTCAAATAAATAAAATCTTTAAAAAAAAAATAAATAAAAGAATTGTGTAGTCAGTGCTACTTAGGTCATATGCCTGGGAGACCCTTGCCATCCCCTAAAGGAAAGTAACTTTGCAATAACCAACCCACTTTTACTGAATATAACTTCCTTATTCCTGCTTCCTTCTGCCTAAAAAAGTCTCTCATTTTGTACAGTTCCTCAGAGCTCCTTTCTCTTTGCTAGGTGGGATGCTGCCCAATTCGAGTTGAGTTTTGCTCGAATAAACTCTTAAAATTTTCTTATTTCCTCAGTTTATCTTTTAATATATCCCCTCTAACATCTCAGACTTTATTTCTCGGATTAGTTTCCTTCTTCCTAAAATACATTGTTTAGAAGTTTCTTTAGTAAGAGTCTGTTGGGAGTGAGCTTTCTTAGTTTCTGTTTACCTGGAAATGTCTGCATTTTTCCTTCATCCTTGTAAGATAATTCTTGTCACCTACAGAATTTTACGTTGACAGTCTTCTATCAGCATATTCTACTATCTTCTCTGCTTGAGAAGGCTCTTTTGACAAGCCAAAAGACAAGTGTCTGACAAGCCTTTTGTCATTTTTTAAAATAATTGACACGGGGCACCTGGGTGGTTCAGTCGGTTGTGTCCAACTCTTGATCTCAGCTCAGGGCACGGTCTCAGGGTTGTCAGTCTGAGCCCCATGCCAGGCTCTGTGCTCAGAGCAGAGTCTGCTTGAGATTCTCTGTCCCCCTCTCTCTGTCCCTCCCCACCACTTGTGTGCTCTCTCTTTAAAATAAATAAGTAAGGGGGTGCCTAGGTGGTTCAGTTCATTAAGTGTCTGCCTTCGGCTCAGGTCATGACACCAGGATCCTGGGATCAAGCCCCACATCGGGCTCCCTGCTCAGCTGAAAGACTGCTTTCCCTCTCCCACTCCCCCTGCTCGTGTTCCTGTTCTTGCTGTCTCTCTCTCTCACTGTCAAATAAAATTTTTAAAAAATAAAAATAAAATAATAAATAAGTAAAATCTTAAATAAAGTTTTCCTTCATCTCTTGTATTCTGCAGTTTCATTGGTATGTAATTAACTGTAAGCTTCTTTTTACTTATCTACTTGGTGTAAGTTACTCTGTATATCTGTGATTATGATTTTTCATTAGAAAATTCTCATCTCTTAAAATAAGCCATTATCTCTTAAAATTAATTATTTCCCCTTATTCTTTCTAAATGTCCTTCTGGAGCTCAGATTAAATGTATGTTAGACCTTCCATATGCCTTATCTTTTAAATTTTCCATCTTTTTCTTTGATAATTTCTTCTGCTCAGTATTCCTGTTTACGGATTCTCCCTTCAGTTGTGTTCAGTGTACCATTTAACCTAGCCACTGAGTTGTTTTGTTTTGTTTTGTTTTGTTTTTAGTCAGCAACATTGTATTTCATTTTCAGTTCTATTTGGTTCTTTTGAAAATCGGGCTAGTCCTTTTTAAAATAAAGTCTTGGTCTTTCTTTTTTTAAATACATCTTTTGTTTCTTTTAACATTTCATTTGTAGTTATTTTTTCAATATCGGAAATTTAGGAGAGCTTAATTTTTTTTTTTTTGACTCTTGCTTTATGTGGCTTGTTTCTTTCTACGCACAACAAATTTTTAACTATGAATGCATATATGGTTGAATTAAATCTGTGGAGTCCTGAGGTTCTGGATTAAGGATGTTTTTCTCTACAGAAGATTTGCATTTGCTTCTCTTTGGTGCAAGAGAATATTTCTAACCTGGAGTCACTTTAATTTCATTACTAATTTTAAAAAATGGGCTATAGGAATATTTTTCAAAAAAAATACACTTTCAAAAGTCTTTTAAAAATGCTTTTATTACATTTATTATATATTATGTATTATATTTTAAAATGCTATTATTGCATTTATAATGTATAACTCGTTAATACCTGGTATTTTTCTACTGCATTCGGAGCGATTTCCTCTGCTCTATATTAGTTTGCTAATTCCCTCTTCAGTTGTGTCCAGTGTACTATGTAACCCATCCATTGAGCCCTTCCCCTGATCGTGTCTAAAATGGCTGTTCACTCCACACAGGTCCTGGGGGTGCCCAATCCTGGGGAACAATGTAGATTCAGACTCCAGATCCATTTGAGAACAAGCTGGTGGCTGCAGACCCCTAGGAGGCACTTAGCCTCTCAGAGCAGGTTTCTGTTGAAGATGGGCAGCTTTTCCACTGAGCCCTGCTTTCTTTGAGGGCCCTTCACGTGTCTCCACTTACTTGTCCAATTGTGGAACACGTGGTTCGTTCAGAGTGTTTCTAGGAAGACGGGGAATAACATGGATATGAGCGAGCCTTGGGGTTTTCTGTCCTACCCAGTTTGCAGGGACCCAACAGCTAGTCTCCGTCCTACAAAAATGTGAGTTCCTGGCATGAACTTTTGTCCTCAGAACAATAAGCAGTAACAACATTCTGTTCCCTCCCTCTGTGCTTTCAGTTTAGTCTTTATTTCTTTCTGCCCTTAGAGACTTGCTGTTCTTATTTTGAGTTCGGCCACACATGTATCGTGATTGCTGTAATTTATCAAACATCTAGGTGTTTTGTACCAGAAAAGAGAAATTTGGAGATTTTTAAAACAGTGTGTAATCAAATAGCACCCAACATTCAGTGGGCACTGGGGGGCTTGGAAAGAAGGAACAGTTCACAGAGAAGTGACATTGGACAAGTGGGCATGCCACTGGCCTCCTTGAATCTCATTGTCTTTCTCCTTAAATAGCACTGCTCACCCCATTTGGTAGTGCAGTTTCTAGCATCTTCCATAACCATCCAGCTACATCTATGAAGGAGCCGGCCTCCCCACCGTGCTCTCCTGCACGAGGCCTGCTCTTACCCTCAGGCTGAGGCTGGTCTTTCTGTCCCCCTCACTCTCCACTGGGGTCCACCATCCTGTGAGGTGGCAGCTGGTACCCCGATCTGTTTCCCCTGAAGACCACGGCCCTGTGAGGACACGGATACCTTGTCAGCCCCGCTTCCTCAGCACTCTACATGCTACCCCTCACAGCGTCCTTGGTACCCTTTCCTTAACTCGTACATCTCGGTTCCCTCTGAATGCTCACTCCTGGCACGTGATCTGTCTAGGCCAGTCTTTTCTGTGTCCTCGGTTATGAGCCTCACTCTGTACAGTCCCCTCCTCACCTCCACACTCACTCTTTATGTCCAGGACCCTCCTTGGCTCTGTGGATGGGTGTTTTGAGAGGAGCCTGATATTGGCCGGGTCACAGTGGGGACAGGTAGAGGGGACACGGGAGAGGCTCACAGGGTTCATGCTGTGTGGGTGCCCACAGCTAGCCATTGTGCTGTAGGTCAGCCGCTGCGGGTACTGTGTTGTATTCTTATACATGTTAATTCTATAGAGAACAATGGTCCAAAACCAAGGAGAAAGCAAAACTCAGTGTTTTTTCTATTTCCAGGACACCTCAGCGTTTCATTCAGCCCTGACAGTCTCTGCCTCAGAACTCAGACACCATGGGATCTCTTCTCTGACATCAAGCATTCTTCCCTTTGAGTTCTGGCTACTTTAAGAATTGCAAGGGTTCTATAAATATTTTTCTCAGGGTGCCTGGGTGGCTCAGTGGGTTAAAGCCTCTGCCTTCGGCTCAGGTCATGATCTCAGGGTCCTGGGATGGAGGCCCGCGTCGGGCTCTCTGCTCAGCAGGGAGCCTGCTTTCTCCTCTCTCTCTCTCTCTATGCCTGCCTCTCTGCATACTTGTGATCTCTCCCTCTCTGTTTCAAATAAATAAATAAAATCTTTAAAAAAAATATATTTTTCTCATTGTGCTGTTTTAACCATCTCTCTTTTTTGTGTATCTCTCAGAGAAATGGAAGGCGAGCTTGAGGTTGTTTGGCAGTCTACCTCCAAGGAAAACCAAAGAATCCGAGAGCTGCTGCAGGCCGTGCTGGAGAGGCCAGGTGTCTGGGACGGCACTAGGGAGGCGCGCTGGGAAGCTGTGGCTCCGGCTACCGTGACCTGAAGCCACCACCTGCCACAGCCCACGCTGTGCCTGGGGCCTTGGCCGGAGGCTCTGCCTTACCCCAGCACTGGGAGGCACAGGAGAAGGGCCACAGCATTTCTCCTCACCAGGGCAAGGTAGAAATAAACTGTCTCAGAAATTTAATCCCCCCCCCTTTTTTTTACATTTTGCTTTTATTTGACTAATACAGTGCTGACCTATATTTTTGCATTGCCTTAAAGCTATATCTCGCCTTGTCTACTGCCTCGCCACAGAGCCAGGCTCTGTGAGCCCTGTTGCTCAGGGTGCCAGGGGACCCAAGGAGCTGGCCTGGCTCTGGGCGTCTAGACCTGCAGCCGGGAGAGTGTGGGAGCAAACAGGTGGTGGGGCTGAGCACTCACACGGCGGGCTGGGTGCGTGAGGTCTCTGAACGCATCCAGTGCTGGTACTGTCATTGGCTCTGGGTGCTGTCCTGGCATGTGGTAAAAGACAAGGGCTAGCACTCACACCCCAGTAAGTTACACAACATCTGTTCTGCCCCATCTCCCTGCCCTTCTTTATCCTCCTGGAAAGGCAACTTTTCTGGGGCCACACAGCACCAGGGTGGGGGTCCCTGCCCCAGCACCACCGCTGAGAAGGATGCCAGAGGCCAGGGTTCTGCTTCTCTTTGCCACCTCCTCAGGTGGGTGACCCCAGCTTCTCAGGGCCATCCCTGGCACTTCCTGGTGGCAGTGCCAGCCCCCTAGGCCTGCTTGTCCCTGGCATGCTGGAAGAACATGGGACGTCAGGCTACACGGGCCCCTAGGAGCGGTGTGGAGGGCAGAATCCTGGAACAGAGCCTTATACGGGCGCCTCCCTGCACAGACCTGCCTCGGTGCAGCGTGTGCACAGGCCAGCCCTGGGTCTGGGTCGGGGGCAGAAGTTACACGCCTGAGCTCTGATTGCTAGCTGGGAGTTGAGGTAGAAGATCAGTTTTATGTTTTTTATGTTTTATTCAAGGATTCTAACTTATTTTCATTTTACCAGAGGTAGGGCGACTCAACTGGGATTTCAAACTCTCTCCATCCTCTCCCTCGGAGGTGACCTAGCAAACAGCTTCAGTATTATTTCCAGGGAACCCAGCAGCTCTCCGGCAGCGGCAGCGTGTAAACAGGCTGCAAGGCCCCAGTGCCCCCGTGAGTCTCTCACCTTCCAGATCTGTGCTTGGTGCGTAGCTTGTGGTGGGAATCCTGCTGTTGTCACTTATGCAAAGAGCCACTTTTGTCATTCCTGGCTTTGTTCCACCTTCTGTGAGAACATTTTGTTTCCTGGAGAAGTGAATGTTTGTACATTTCTGCCTTAAGTTTATTTCACGTTACAAGCATACGTGGCAAGTTTGGGGACCCCTGGACCTCGTCACGGCCACAGGGTTGGGCCCCGCAGCACCTGTGTTCAGCCAGCCTCCCATCGGATGCTGTCAGCATGTGGCAGGTGGGCTCTGAGTCCAGGGTGCGAAGGAGGGTCCACGCAGGCAAAGTGGCGAGAGATAAGGTAGCTGAGGGGCCCAGGGCCTGAGCTTCGATGCATTGTGAGGGATCTGGACTGCTCTGGGCCTTGCTGATGGGCAGGGTTTCAAGGGCTGGAGAATGACAGGGCTGTGTGTGCCGGGGTGAGAACTCAGGAGCCGCAGGAGGGGTGTTCGGGCTGGAGGTTGGGGTGAGAAGGGAGGCCAGACTGGCCCCAGGAAAGCCTGGACCTCTGCCAGGGGCCTGTCTGCTTGACCCTGCGGGTGCCAGTCGGACCAGGAGCCGTGGCCTTTCCTGCTTGGTCCTGGGGAGGCGAACAGTTATGAAATGGGTCCCAGGGACTCAAAGGGGCCCTGCTGCCTTTGGTGTTAGCAAAAAGTCGTCCAGGGGAATTGCAGACCAAGTACAGAGAGGCCGGGGCCCAGCCGGCATGTGCGTGTGAGTTTGAGGTGACGGCAGGCAAGGAGCTGCCTTCAGTTTCCCAGGACATCTGCACAGAGGGCTGGAGGGGTCGGAAGTGGCTCCTGCCCCTCAGGCTCCAAGAAGAATGGAAGAGGCCTTCCTTTCCCAGGAGCTTCACGCTGTGGAGATCAGTGTGTCCTCCAACTCTCAGGAGAGGAGAAAATCCCAAATTGGATTTCTTTCAGTGCAGTGTATTTATTCAGCAAATACACTTGGAGTGCTTATCTCTCTGCACGGTGTCGAGAACAATAGCGGTGACAAAGGCAGACATAATTACAGAGCGTTCTAGGTGCTTGGAAGAAAACAGGACAGAAACAATGGCCTGGTCACCTTCATGGCTGCTGTGGCAGCTACAGGGTGAACTCCGTGCAGAACATTCAAAAACAAAAATCTCAGGGGCGCCTGGGTGGCTCAGTGGGTTGAAGCCTCTGCCTTCGGCTCAGGTCATGATCCCAGGGTCCTGGGATTGAGCCCCACATCTGGCTCTCTGCTCCCCCCCTCTCTCTGCCTGCCTCTCCGCCTACTTGTGATCTCTGTCTGTCAAATAAATAGATAAAATCTTAAAAAACAAAACAAAAAACCAAAAATCTCATTGCGCAGACTCACGGTCATGATCTTACCCTCCAAAACAAAAAATAGTTATCTTCCAGGAAGATTCTCTTTTCCTCCCATCTCCCAATGCCCTGCCCCGCTATCTTGCAGGAAATCTCGCCTTGTCAGTCACTATGTGCTCTGCTCCTTCCTTTGTGTCCGAATTCCCAAGTGATGGTTTGTGCTGGGCGGTGTGATCCAAAGCTGCTTCACAGGGAAGTTGTGCCCAGACTCTGTGAAGGGCTGATCTCTGCTCGCAGGAAGGCGAGCCAGGGACTCAGAGCCACGTAAAAGATGTCATTTCTCTGGGGAACATGAAAGGGAGTCGGGGGCGGGAAGTTCACGGAAGGCTGTGGGTAGGAGGTCGCATTTCAGCGGGCGTTAAATGTGGAGTTGGATTTCCCCAGAAGAAGATTCTGAAAAGAAAGACGAGGACTCAGTAGGTGAAGATGAGGTCAGACCGGAGCATGGTTGGTCCTTTGTGCCAGACGACTGGTGCCCTGGAAGGAAGACAGCTGTGTGAGGACTGAGACAGACGCCCAGGGAGGACGCTATGCAACAACAGTCAGGGTTGGAGAGACTGTAACTGCAGGCCAAGGATGACACCCAGGAGTTCTGGCTACCCCAGAAGCTAGGAAGAGGCCGTGAAGGACCCCCTCCCAGGTTTCAGAGGGAGCACAGCCCATGCCCACACCTGGAGTTCGGACTTCTAACCTCCAGAACCGAGGCGATAGATCTGTTGGTTTTAAGCCAGAAGAGGAGCTAAACAGGCCAGGCCCCCAGAGCCGGGGATTCCCAGAGCAAGCAGGGTGTCCTTGCAGGGACAGGGCAACTTTGTGTGTGCGGGGGCACAAGGGGGTGAGAACGCACCTTTTCAACTGAGTACATTTTAAAAGGTCATCGAACTACAGATCGCGGACTTCTGATGAAAATCTTGTGCTATATTGCGATGTGCTGGAAACATAAAATGTACCCCAGATTCTGAAGACTTAGAAGAGTGTGAACTATTTCACCAATAATTTTTATACTGGTTATGTGTTGAGATAACATTTTGGATGTACTGGGTGAAATAAAACCTGTTGTGAAAATCGATTTCACCTGTTTTTGCTTCTACTTTTTAAAAAACGTGGCCACTGGAAAAAATTGAAACTATGTATGTGACTCACAGTATACTTCTCTTGCAGAGTTTGTGTGTGCCCCCGAATGTGAAAGGCAAAACTGAGATAAGTCATGACGTTGGGGAGGGATTGCTTTCTTTCTCTTTCTTAAGATTTTATTTATTTATTGAAGAACGTGGAACAGGAGCAGAGGGCTTCTGGGGCTTCCGTGCAGCTTTGGGGGCACCGGGAAGAAAGAGGCCAGGCTGGTTGCCTGCTCCTTGGCGGGATGTTTCTCACTGTGCGTGGGACCTTCGCCTGGTGCGGTTCCCAGAGGCGCAGGTCTCCTCTGGTGGAAGGTGATGACGGGGTGTACTTGGGACAAGCAGCTGAGGAGTGGGGGAGTTCCTGTGTGGGAAGGGCCAGGCACCACAGAAAGTGCTTCTGTGAAGAAGGACTTTCCTATTCCAGCAAGAACGTTTTAGGTGAAAGAGTCAGAGGAGACCGGGAAAGGCTCTCTGGCTTGTCCCTGGCCTCAAGCAGTCCCCCTTGATGGCTCACCCTGGCCCCGCGGTGTCCAGGATGCACATGGGGCTTGCACAGTGGAGCCCGCAGGAGCGGGCAGAGTAGGGCAGGAGCTGAAGCGGGAAGAGAGATGCGAGGAGTCCCGAGATTGGAGCCTGGACCCTGGGGTGAGCTAGAGCCTGCAAGCCTCCGCTGGGAGTGAGTGAGTTGGAGGGGTTGGTGGGGAGGTGTGTGGGGGAGGGAGCAGCTCCCAGCAGCTCTGAGCTTGTGAACTGCCTGGCGTGGATCCACTTGCCTCAAGCTGCTGGGCTCAGTGGGGGGGTGGGGAGGGGAGGGTTACCTCCCTCCCAGAGGACACTCTCACACACCTAGATTTTCTGAGATATAAGGTCTGGGGCACTCTGGGCAACCTCTCCTACACAGGATTCCATCAGCAGCAAAGACACCTCAAGTGTCCCACATCTAAAGGACAAGCCGCTCCTGGACCCCACGCTCTCTCTCTCGCCATCTCCTCTCCATGGAGAGCCTGAGCCCTGGGGCACTGCTTTTGCCGCACATTTTTTGCAAGTGTGTGCGCTCTTTCTGGGAAAACACCAAGGGCTGGATTTGCTGCATCCTGGGAGCACATGTGTGTTTAACTGTGTAACGTGTCTCCAGCACATGAGGACGAATCTTGCGTGTCTCCACTGACATGCTGTCCTCAGTCAAATTCAGAGACAGAAAGTAGGATCTGGGGCGAAGGGGCAAACGGGGAGTTTTTAAAGGAGTGAGTGAATTCCTGTGTTAATTGTTTTATGGTGAAACGGTAAATCCTTGACATTGAAAAATTCTGCCCATTCCACTGACTCTTTACAAGT